GGGGTTTAGAAAAATGGTTTTTCCTTTCGGGTTTTCCCCCCCCCTTAAAGGGCGGGGGAAAAGTTTCCCCCGGGCCCCCCCCGGGGGGAAAGGCCTTTTTTTCCAAAGGGTTTCGGCCCGGCTTTGAAAAAGGGGGGGGGGGGGGCCCCCGGGCCCCCCCGGGGGGGGCCCTTTTGGTTTTCCCCCGGCGGCTTTTTTGCCTTTTTCCCTAAGGGCCCCCCCAAGGGCTTGGGCCGGGTTTTGTTGGCCCCCCCCCCCCCCCCCCCGTCCTCTTCTGTCAGACGTAATTATCGTCAACAGCTGTGCCTGCCTGCCCACCCGGAAGAAACACCTCCCCCCGTCCGCCAATACTGAAGCACTCGATTTTTGGCAGTGGTTTCCTTGGAAGGTAGAAACGGCTATCGTCTCGAGAGAGGCGGTGGTATGATGTTCAGTTGACCCGCGGCGAGACGGAAACTCATGACCACGCTTCCCCTGTCGCGCCCCCTTCAGTTGCTTCGGAACATTAACATTAATCCAGTTCATTGGTCGTAGGATCGGAACGGTTTGCCGTTTGATCGAGAACGGTCCCAAGCTGTTGTTTTTTGTGCTTCGAAAAAGTACACAAAGATCCACATTCTCTTGTGTTCGTGGTGGTTGATTTTGGGCAGATCTGTTGTGTTCTCTTATCGTGGCCTACCTGCGTCTCCTTTCGTGGTTCTTCTTTGTCTGTGGTGGTTTGTTGTGGAGTCAGGCGAAACGGTCTTTTCCGAACTCGTACTTGCTGGTGGGGTGCTGCAACGACAAGCTCACGCATGAGCTCAAGGGGCGGACGGTGCTGAAGGACACAGAGAGGTACGACAAAATAAGAAAACACACACACACACATACACACATAGGGAGACATGCCGCCCTGCACAGTAGAATGCGGCAACCGCGTCCTGTCAACAACATTCGGGAACAAACAGTAATCGCTCCCCACACGATCCTTAAGGTAGGGTAAAGTTTCGGTTGGTCCGATATGTGTGTGTGTGTGTGTGATGTGTTCGCCCGTGCTTCAAACGCACTTCGAACACAACCTCTCAACGCGTAGACTGGCTGAAACCTCGCAGTATCCCCGGTGCGCAACAAGCATTCAATACAGAGGTTACGCTGGTAAACTTGAGAAAAAGCGGGAGGCCATCTCTAGCAGTTCATGCACTGTGGCCGCTCCTCGTCCTTTTGGAAATGACGAGGAGCGGGTACAATGCATAAAATGCCTAGAGATTCCTAGCTGTCACATCCTCTGCCCCACCTAAGAAATCCAACGTGGAGGATATCCCTGATGTAAAGTGAGTCGGTTGAATTGTTCTCAAAAGAGGCAGAGGGCGGGGGGTCAAACTCTTCTATGTGGGCAGTTTATTCCCTGCGGAAGCTGCTTCGTGCACTACGACGGTGGCACTCTCGAAGATGAATCCTCACGACCCCGCTGTTCAAGTGGGCCAGTAGCTGTCGCGGTGTGTCGGCTGTCTACAGCGCTTTGACCCCTTGTCCTGTGCCTCATGTACGGGCAATGCCTGATGTATCGTCACGACGCCACGGTAGAAGTGAACGAGTAGCTGCGGCCGTATATCAACCAACCGCCTAAAGAGGTTGACCCCCCCTTCCTCTCCCTCATTTGAAGGCAATTCATCGACTCACTTGACGAGGCCATATTGACGTCGAACGTCTTGACGTCGAACGTCTTGACGTCGAACAGAGGACGCGGGGTTGAAGCTCTCGAGACAGGCGGTGCACTGCTGCAGCTCCTTCGAGTAGCTGCCGCAGTGCATGAAGCAACCGCCTAGATAGCTTTGACCCCCCCGCCATTTGCCTCATTTCAAGGCTTTTGATTGAGGGCCATCATGACGTCGGGTGTCTTGAGGGAGGGACGGGACAGGGGTACGCTCTCCAAGCAATTCATGGGCGGCGTCAGCTACTCGAGTAGCTGCTGCCGCGCATGAACTGCGTAGGAAGCTTTGGCCTCCAGTCCTCTGCCTCGTTTCAGGACATTTCGCTGGCTCTCTTTAGAAAGAGGGCGGTCATTTTGGCATCGAACTTCTTCAAGGAGGCAGAGCACGGGGCGTCTACACTGTAAATCTAGGGAATGGATGCATTGCGGCAACTTCTCGTGCACATGTACAGCAGTAGCGTCCCCAAAGATGACCCCTCACGACCTCGTTGTGACGTGGACAGGTAGCTACCCCCAATGAATGCACTGTCCTTAGCTTTGACCCCCCTTCCTCTGCGTCATGTAAGGACATTTTCCTGACTCGCTTACAAGAGGGACATCTTGACGTCTAAGGTCTTGCAGGCGGCAGAGGACGGCAGGTGTAAGCTCTCAAAGCAGTTCATGCACTGCGGCAGCTGCTCGTCCACTTCCTGTAGAGGTGGACAGCTGCCACAGTGTTTGCATTACCCACAGGACTTTGACCCCCCGTCCTCTGCTTCACTTGAGGACAATGCGCTGGCTCACTTTATAAGAGGGCCATCATGACCTTGAAGGTCTTGAATTAGGCAGAGGACACAGGATCGAACCTCTGAAGACAGTTGATGCACTGCGGCAGCTTCTCGGGCAGCAGCCGTGCAGGAACTGCCTCGAGAGATTCGAGTCTGCGTCCTCTGCCCCCCTCAAGTGGAGCAGAGGGCGGGGTCAAAGCTCTGCAGGTAATGCAAACATTGCGGCCGCTCCTCGTCCTCCCCTACAGGACGTGTGCATTGTATGAACAGCCCAGAGAGCTTTGACCCTCCCTCCTCTGCCTGATTTCGACAAGTCTCTGACTCATTTGAAACGATGGCCGTCTTGGCGTCGAAGGGGTTGGAGGAGTTCTCGAGAGGTGGACGAGGGGCTGTCGCAATGCATGAATTTCTTCCAGAGTTTTGACCCTCCCTTCTTTTGCCTCGTTCAAGGGCAAGTCTCTGACTATTGCATGCACAAAAAAATATTTGCCTTCAAAAGCACACAAAGGAAGCACAGAAGAGAATTGATCCATTTACCTTTATTTACAGCGTTTTTTATTCTGGTTTTGGGTAGGGCATACACAGGAATGGTCACCCACCCAAGATAGGACCCAAAAGGGGTACACCTCAAGCACGGCCACCGTCGTACATATTCGCGAACCACGCTGCGTCCAACACGCGTGACGAAGAGTCTTCGTATGCATCTTTGTCTCTTGCAACTTGGTTTGCTCCATAGGCCTATTTCTTGGCGTCGCTCTGCTTCTCGCCATTCCTTGTATGTCTCGGCCTCTTTGGGTACAAGTACCAGAACCTGTTTTTTCTGTTTTTTGTCTCATCGGTAATACCTTGCCTTGTGTCTTGAGTCTGCTCCCGCAATCGTTCTTTTGTTCACCTTCCAAGAGTGCGAAATAATGGCCGCTCGAGCTTAAATCGGTTTTCGCACGCGGAGATGAGGACGATGACACCAACAATATGGTCCCCAATGTATATCTCTCTTTGCCCCGTTGTCCGCTGCCATTCTCTGACACTGCGGCCAACTTACACCGACCTCTTGGCCCCTGTGTCGGGCTCGATCCCGCCGATGATACCTCTCAAAGGTACGAGTCGCTGAAGCACTGCAAGTGGGTCGATGAGGTGGTGGAGGATGCCCCGTGGGTGGTGGACGAGGACTTCATCGCTGTCCACCAGGTGATATTTGGAGTGCCGTATTCGTGGCGATTGTGATAAACCGGGAGTAGCTACCCACAGTATTTTGCATGAGATTCAAGCTGTTCAGTCGTGATGCCTGGTCTGTTGGGTGATAAACGTAAATTGATTCCCACAGGGTTTTTTCACGCTGTTCAAACTGTGCTGTCGTGATGCGGTTTCTGTTGGACGAATCGATTATTTTTGCGAATAGTTGCCCACAAGATATTTTCATGGTGCTTTCTGTGAGACGCCGGGTCACCGCGCTTCCTTGTTGCGGGCACGGTCCATTCGCTTTTTCATCCCCTGCCCTCGCCTTCCTTTTTCTGAGCGTTGCTTGCACAAACGATTCCTCCAACCGGACCTCTTTTACTTTTCCGGCTCCTTTGTGTTTTCTGACGACGAGAACAACGGGGGGGTTTCTATTGTGGACCTTCGTTGTTTCCACCTTTTTGTTGTTGTTGTTGTTGTTGTGCGCTTTTTGTTTTGTTTTTTCAGATCGACTTTGTGTGTCACGACGCACTCCCGTACGGCGACGCCTCCGGGCAGAGCTCGTCTGGCGACGTGTACGCGCACCTCAAGAGGCAGGGGCGCTTCGTGGAGACGCAGCGCACGGAGGGAATTTCCACCAGTGACATCATCACGAGGTTGGTTGGAGATCGGTCTACCTTATACCCATACCCGTTGATGGTGTGGTTGCTGTTGCGTATATTGGTGTTGTATTCGCTGTTGTGCTGGTTTCTTACTGGTTTGTCTCATGTCTTGGTTGCTTGCTGAAATCGAAGCTCTTTCGCGGCAGGGACGGTGGAGTCGTGTCGGGTATGAGACCAAGAACGCAGTCGTGTGTTGTGTGCACGGGTTGCGTTTTTGCGCCTCCCCTCGTGCGTGTGCTTTTTTCCCTAATCATCCACAGAATCGTTCGTATGTTCTCATTGGTCAAGATGGTACGGATGGTGAAGTGGTAGCGGGGGCGGGTGTTGTTGGTCGGCGTACCGTAAGAATCGGAGAGATGGCACCCCCGTGTTGGCTTTTTTTTGTAGCGTATTTCTCCACAACTAGGAGGGTTGGAACACCAACCGATACCTCTCAGGAAAGCCCTCGACGAGATGTTTCCAAAACTACTACCCTTTTGGGCAGGGGTACAATACCCCCCCCCCCCCCCCCCAGGTTGTGGAGAAATACGCTATACAAAAACGCTAACACGGGGGTGCCATCTCTCCGACTCTTCCGGTAGTCCGTAGTCTCTTCCTCCAAGAACTTGCGATGAGGTTCGTCTTGGAATAGTTCTGCCCTAGTAATACCCACGTCATGATTTTTTTTTTTTTATGCCGGACACTGCACAGTACGAATATCGTTCACTTTGCCTGTGGACACCGTGTACAACCCCACTGTGGCAATACATATCCCGGCTCGATTTTGTGTAAAGCCTTTGACGGATCTTTGTTGTGCCCTCTTTTTTTGTTGTTTGTTTTTCGCGTCGTTACGTTCGGCGAAACAACGCTTTTCATGTTTCACGCACGTACGGGCAGCATCATCCAAGACTACGACGTTTTCGTGCGGAGAAACATGGAGCGTGGCTACAACGCGAGGGACATGAACGTGCCTTTCCTCAAGGAACAGGCCATCAAGTTCGACATCGTCAAGGTGTGTCTCCTCGATCCCCGCGGAACTAACCGCAGAATGACGCAACCAACGGCTAGCCATATCTCCGATGATACGGGCTTTGATTGAGGTGTTTTCTACTAATAATAGCACCATATGATATTCCAGATACTGCCGAAACCACTACTGTGTGTATCAACATACGCCAATTTCCAAACGCCTAGTGCTGCTGCTGCTGCAATGTTACGCGCGGCGTATTTCAGTGTTTACGTTTCTCGGTGTGTATTTCTCCACCGACCTCTGATCTCCCTTCCTACTACGGTACATCTCCTATGTGGGCGCACGCCGTTTGTCACGACGCCGACGCTGTTCCTGTCTGTCAAAATCGACACGGTTTCAGGACAAAGTTACGCGTCGAGTGGGAAAGGTCATAAAGGATCGCCAGGTATGTTTTGTGTGTGTGTGTGTGCGTTTGATTTGTTGACATCGATCGGGCTAACCGGCTGGCAACTGACGAGCGCCTCAGTTTTGAGCGACACGCCGAACGGGGTGCGCGTGTTTGGTTTTAAGTGGCATGGATCGTACCCCTCCCGAAATATGATTAGGCGTCGGTCTCAGCGGGATACTTACTCCGAGCTGTCAACATGGTGGTCTTGTGTACCAGTACGTGCGTTGAGGAAGACAAGGAGAAACCGTAAGGGTGGCCGGGAAGGCTTTTGTTTTCAAGTCAAAAAGCCGTTTGTTTTCGTGAGTTGTGTGTGGTATTGTTTATAGTGTAGATTAACCAGGCGAACCGGTTGACGATGAGGTCGACGACAATTTTCCCTGGAACGTTTTTCTCCCCTTTCCTACGTGGTTGAATTGATAGTGGAATTTCCGCTTACACCCAGCTATTCTTGTGGCCTCTGCTGGTTTGCTGTGCCTCTGCTCGCCGTTGTCCTTGGACCGCCAGAAAAAGAAAACCAAGCAACAGGCTGGTGGGGCCCTTATCACCAAGGGTGTGAAGGGACGAGGTGGCGGCGGCGGTGGTGTTGACCCGAACGGCAACAAGGAGCGGCACAACCTGGTGCTGGATCTAGGGAACCACGCCCAGGAGACGATCACGGACATGCAGAGGAATTTCGTGCAGGTGGGGCGTATGCGATGCATTCCCTCTTCTTGTACAGCAGTAGTTGCATGGGCTTGGTCAAGCTCGGTGCTAAATGGCTCTCGCCTATCCAATGTCGGGTACTGCTGTGTGGCGCCAAACACTGGACGAGAATCACTACCAAAGGAACCATCTCTGGAGACTGCAGCGGTAGTGGCCAGGTTGTTGTGTTTGTGGGGTCGATTCTTTGTTGGCGTTTTGCCTTGCCTTGCGTCGACCGTTAACACAGAACGAGCCGAATGTTTGCCCACTGTACGTATGTTGGTGGCCATGACCGGGGACATGTCTCGAATCCACCGGAGCGCCAACGCCGTCACCGTGCCTCTCTCCAAGAAGACGCGACTCTCGCCATCGAGATCTTTGGTGTTAGTGTTGCGAGCATTCAACACCAGTTCTGCCCCCCACTGCTGCCAGTCAGTTGTTTTTTGGGTGCCGTCGAGCTCACGGTACCCCCCACCCTCCCACCGCCGCTGTGGTTAGATCTTCGACCGGGATGGGGCTATCCGCACGAGCTTCCGCGAGCAAAGAAGGCAGATCCGCGAACGCGTCAACGTGCTCGCGCGGACCAGCTTCTGTTAGGGGGATCGAGCCTGCTGCCTTGGGGGTGGGGGTGGGTGACCGGCGTCAAGGGCGCCGGCTCAACAGGCTGGGGCGCAGAGTTTGCGTCCTTGCGCAAAGATCGAAGAAGGAGTGCGGGGGGGTATCAACCTCAGGAAGGAGTCGGTGAATGGGACTTGGATGAGATGGAGCAGGCTGTGATAGTCTGTCGCATGTGATAGGTGCCTTGATGCGCCAGCGAAAGGCACCGAGGGCTTCGAAATTGTCTGCGTGGACGGCGTCGCAGGAACTGGCAGTTTTGGCGGCGGACGAGGCAGCATTTGCGGTCGCCCTGATGTGCCGGCACTATTTTCTCGCCGAAATACCACCGCTCGCGGATCCCTACTGGACGCAGTGGATGCTTACGATGTTCGCAGGAGAGCGGGTGTGGTGAGCGCACAAGAATGATGAAATCTGTTGGCGTGGGATTATATAACTGATGGACAACTTCTTCTGTGTCCAGCAAGTAAACGTACTGGCTTTGCTCGATGTCTTAACCCTTCTTGACCCTCAACGTCCCTCGCGTTGGAACAAAGACGCTTTTGTCTTGATCAGTAAGAGACAAGAGACAGAGAAAGAGACAACGAGAAAGAGACTAGGCACAACCGCGGGGTATAACCGCGGGGTACGTCGGGGCACTTCGCAACCGCCGGAACTACAGAGATGTCAGCTTGGTTTCAAGCGTGGTACATCAGCAAACACAACAGGAATGCGGGCACGAAGATGTGTGCCACGCATACCATATCATGCGTTTCGTGAATAATTCCGTGTGTGTTGTATGAAGGGTTTCTTTTTCAACGTGGTTGTACGAGGGGGCCGGGTGTGGTGGAAGACCTCGTGCATGTGCGTGTTGATATTTTGCGGACGCTGAAGCTGCCCCGACCAAACACCCGGCCGGCACGGAGATGCAGAGGGAAATTTTAGGGTACGTGCGTTCACGCACGTGCACATACAACCAGAGAGCTCTCCCGTCCCCAGGGTTGTCAATTTTGAACGTTCTTGTTGCTTCTGCTCCCTTTTTTGCCAATGATAAGCATTTTGCTTGCCGGGAGGGGAAAACCTTGTGCTTTTTTGTAACGTTTTCCAAAGCCCTCGGCGGCCTACTAGAGGCAAGTAAACTCGAGAACATTTATCTCTTTGCGCAAATATAATATGGCAGGTAGATTTCAAGGAGTTGTTCCTTGTTTTCGACGAGCAATCTTCGGGTCTATACTACATATCTGCTAGAGAAAATATAGATATTCTAAATGAACGCCTTTAGGTTCATGGCGTCCCGACTAGCTTCTCGCTCTCTGTGCTTCGACACAGTTATCTACGTCATATTGGACACTGATGTGGGGATTAGACGTACTGCAAGGGTCAATTGTCAGATTCAACCACACATCACTGCCAATCGCCGGATTTTTGGTTCATTGCTGGCTCAAAGTTGTCCTCAGGCCTTGATTCTCGGAAACGCCGCGTACAAGAGCCAATAGTTTAATTGTGCACCTCGCATCGGCAGGAAGCAGGTCCTTGGACGTTGCGGGGAGATGGATAGAGGGGGGGGGTGAGGGGCGCTCCCCGATGGGAAGAGATCCGTACCAAATCACGTGGTGCCATGATTGCCGCTACCTCTTCGCATGATTGGCAAGACCGTTAGCTTTTGCCCGAATTCTTCGCTCTCTCGGGCAACTCGGGTTTTTCGGCAAGTGTAAGGTTCTCCTCGTGTAAAGCCATCCGCATGTGAGCAACCATGTATGTGAGCTTGTGCTACACCAGTATTCCTTTTGGCCACCGGCTTCGCTGCCCGACACCGGGAGACCAATGGAAAGTTTGTTGTGCTAATTTAGCAGTGGGACACAAGGCCTCTTCGTTATGTTGTCGAAACCCTGACGAAGGAGGACACGGGGAAGGGTGTGCATGTGGATTTGTGCTAGCGCCGACGGTGTGTGTGTGGTCTGTGGAGAGCAAATATATGCTTATCCTCCGTGGTGGGAAGCCGCACAAGGTTTTCTTTGTACCGCTAGCCGGAACTCTCTCCCGAGGTATGCGGGTGTGTGAACACGACACTCTCGAAGTGTGGAGTTGATTCTATTTGTCCGCGCATTTGCTTCTGTGGACCGGCTGCTCGAAACGTCGGTCTGGCCTGTGGCGATTTCGGGACGAGCTTAAGCCGGGAGGCAAGGCACGTCCCGCCACACTTGACCAAGAAAAGGGGCGTGCCCTGCAGGCGCTCAGTGTTCGTCAAACGCGACGACAGCCTTGGGGGCTGCTTCTTCACGCGTCGTCGACGTTTGCAACACAACGATGTCTCGTGCTGGTCTAAGCCAACGCCCCGAAACCACACCAAATGTTTAGTATGGAACGCCTACGCATCGCCTTGACAGCGGAAACCGAACCAGAATCATCGTGAGGGGGGGGGGATCCAAGTTGCAACTGCATGCAGCGTATCAATCGTCTTCGTAATGACGGAGGTCACTCTTTGGACGATGCAATGGTCCATCAGCTTAGCAACCTCTGCAATGGTACACCATACACCTTGTGGGTGGGACCTTTGCACTTTCGAAGTCGAGTTCCAGGGACCACGTTGCAAATACCGTCCGCATCACTTCGCCATTCCGCGGCAACAGTTGGAGCCCAGCCAGTGGATGAGCCTAGGGTTAAGGACTGTTGTAGGCGCTTGCTTTGAACCTCAAGCATTATTTTCGTCTGGATTCCTCGCATGAAGCATGCGTCTTTTCCCGCGAGGACGATGCCAGAGAACCTCTTCCACTCTGCATCTAAACAGCCTGTCCATAACCACGTTGTTCCGAGCGTGTCTCTGGTGGCTCATTCATGCATAGCACACCTAAAAAAAACAGTAATCAACCTAAGCTACGTACCACCCTCACGAAACGTCATCCTTGCAATAATCCACGTAGCTCGATAGGTTCAGAACACGTAACTCGAGCCCAACAACAGCAATGAGAGGGGGGCATATCGGGGGAGGGGTATTGCTTTAGGCGCGCTGTTGGACGTTCACCTCCCCTTAGACTAGGCAAACCTCTTCTCTGTCACAAGCGGCGAGCACGCCAGCGCCGCCCGGTCGCCGCTCCACCCTCTCAGAGCGCTCTTGCTCCTGGTGGGCGGGGGCCCCGACCTCCCAGACACCGGCCCTAAGGTCGCGCCCGGGAGACTATCGGAGGCCCACGTGGCGGGCGAATCACGCTCTTGGGTACGCTCTCCAAGCCCTCGTTCCCCTCCTGGGCTGCTGGCAATAAAGGTTGTCCCGCCCAACAGGTTCTCGGGGTCAACTACGACAGACTCGGCCAAATTTTCGGCTCTATCGCCTGCTAATGCATCCTCAGCTAACGGTGCGGCTGCACCACCACCCGTGATGCTGGTGCTGCTAATGCTATCGTCGCTGGGGCTGTCGCTCTTCCATCGCCCCATGGAGCTTTCGTTGGAAAGCGGAGGAGCCATTGCTCCGGCACCACCGCCACCCACAACATCGGGGCCTTCAACAACAACAAGAGTTGGTGACGGCTCGTCTCGCACGCCTGACCCAGGCGCGCGGTGCAGGAACGGCAGAGCGCGGCCGTCAGGGGCAGTATTCCCGTGGCTGCTGCCGCCACCACCAACATACTCCACACCACCCCCTTTTTCATGACCGGAAGGAAAAGGGTACCCACCCGTGCCTACGGACCCAACTCTGCGGTGCCCCGCGGCTGCCCCTGCCGAGGAGGCATAACTGCCACTACCAGAAGCACCAGCACCGCCGCCGCCGCCGCCGCCGCCAGTGCGTCCACTTGCTGACGGGCAATGCGGCCACATGCCCCCCACCGATGCGGCATCGTCACACGAGAAGCACCCGGTCGAGGCGCCGCCGCCCGGCTGTAGCGGACCATTCTGGCGGTGGCGCGTTCTGCCACCTGCCGCTCGTGAGGAGGCGGTGTCGATGGGCGAGAAAGCGACGGAAGAAAACCCTCCCGAAGAGGTCGAGCCGTTCCCGTCAGAGGGTAGCTCGCGGTGGATTACGCGAGGGTGATACCTCCCGACGGTGGTGCCAGCGGCCTTTCCGGTAGCGGTGGGGGGCGGTGGGTGCAGAGGGTGGTCTTTCGACATCCCGGGCATCACCCCGAGCATGATGGTGGCCACCCGGCTGGGTGAGTTTATCGTGTCGCAGGTCGAGGCGCGCGACGGCGCGGCGGTGTGGGTGGAACAGTTGGCCCACCCACTGGAGCTGCCTTCGCGCGTGACCGCGCCGCCGCAGCCGTTTCCTTCGACCGGGTTCGTGACAGAAGATGTCGGGTCTAGCTCGCGCGGGAGGCTCCACCCTGAGGTCATCGCGAGTCGCCCGTCGAAGGACTCAGCGTCGCGGGGGTCTTCAGGACCGGGACCGTGCGCCGTGGCACCTTCGTTGGAGCCACCTCTGTTTCTGTCCTCGGCCACCGGGGAGTCCGGGGTCCGCACCGCGAAGTGGTTTATTCTTCCTCTCTTCTTCCCGTAACCTTTGGCGCCCATCACGGATGCCACGTGACCCCGGGGAAACGATACGGTCTTCGACGAGATGCTCTTATGCGCAAGGGGGAGGGTCCGTCTCCCTCGCTCTTTGGTTGACCACGGAATACCATTTGCTCGCAGTCCCACGCCCCCACCCCCGCTCCGGGCCCCGCTGACAACAGCTTGAGGCGCTCTGAGCAAATTCCCACACTCTGTGCGGTCGGGAGTGCTTCGTCGGGAGGAGGGAGGCACGGCAAATCGATCCCAGCTGTCTTCTTTCGGAACACCGACAACACCATAACGGTCACCAACGGTGTCGATTCCAACGCGATACGGACCATCAGGGACCAAATGATGTCTCCCATAAACGGCTGCGTCGTGGACGGCACGGTCGTTGTTCTTCTTAGCGGTTGGAGGAGGGTGGATATCTGTGTCAACCGCTCGGCGGAGCGATACTAAATCCGTGTTCTCGAGGAGCTTCTTCGCTCGGTCGACAACGAACTTATATCTGAAAAACAAATTGTGGGAAACGAATGTCGCGCGAATTGCGAGGAGGCTCAGAGTTTGAACGATTTGTTTTTCCTTCTTTACCTGGCCAACAAAAGACCATCGAACCACCGGACCGTATTGCTCCTACGAAAAGGAAAAGAGAAGCGACGTGGTGATACCTGTGTGGTACCATAATTATAGCATGGGTGCCACATCTCTGTAAATTCAGGAATTATCTCAACGATGCTGAGGTCAGTATACACAGTCCAGGTAGAATACTTCAACAGTCTGGGTGCAATATACTCGAGAGCCGAATGACTTTTTGTGCGGAACTCTTGCCTGCGAATCCCCATCAGTTCAGCCCACATAAACCCTCCGTTGATACGCGTGACAATCAGCACTCTCTGCCGAACGTCCCACTTCTGCAGAAGGTGTAGCAGCTTTTCTCCTGACCCTACGTCGCCGTTGTCGCAGAAACCTTCCTCAGCGTCAGCGTTATTCTTGGGTGCGCGGCTGCTGTCACCGATGTTTCTCGGCGCCTGTGTTCTCGCCCCTCGAACGTGCGCTAGCCGGAAGGCGAACGGGCAGACGAAATCAGAAAAGGCGGCGTCGCGCTCTATCATCGCCGACACGGCCTCGCAGACGGCTCTGGCTTCGGCGACCGTGCGCGCCCTGAGCGCGCGCGCAGCAGGGAGGTTCGTATATGCGGGCTCGTTCGTGATCATCAAGCAGGAAAGACGGTGCATGAATACCCAAACTTCCTTAAAGATCATTCTATCCAGCAGAATAGAGTAGACCATACTTGCTTCTAGAGGAACACTAGAGCGGAGACGGAAAATCCCGCTGAAGTGCAACAAGTCGAATGTGAGACGACAACCCCGAGTCGGATTCTGAAGCTCGATATCTGCGCAGAAGGAGAAAGGAATAGAGTATGTACGTACTGCTAGACGGAAGGCTTCCGAAATATATTGAGAGCTGCATGCATAGACGACTCTTGGTATGTACATAGGAAGCAAACCCGTTCGCCCCGATTCTGGCCTAGAAGACAGCATTATCTCCCTTTTTGCGTCGAGACATCGAGCTTCGACAATCGACCCACTCAATGTTGTGGATTCCTGTGCGACCTACCGCGCTTGATCATGGACTCGCGCAAGCTGAGCTGGTGCTCACCAATTGTAATTGTAGCTACAGCAGCAGTAGCCCACTCTCCCGAGTCCTTGCTCTGTGTAAGTAAGCACAAAATCTAGGTACACTCATTGCGTGAAACAGCTTTGGCGAAGACCATATTCTAATTCATCTACTCGCTACATTCGCCTCAATGACAGAGGCTTTGGCAGTACCAATAGTCACCTTCGCCCCAGCCGCAATTTTCACCTGCCGATGTGCGCCTGAAACACACACTGAGAAATCGTGATCGGTTGCCCATGCAATGTCTGTTCCGGGGGAGGATGCTCACCCCCCACCTCCTCAGGTTTCTCTTCGGTTCTGCTGTTGGCACGCCGAGAGTCAGGCTCCACTGCCCTTCCCTCTAATTCGGGAGGAGGCTCGTCTCTCTCTAAATCACGGCCCTGCTTGTGGCATGTCACACTATCCTCGCTCGTGCGAGGGCTGTCTCCCGGCACGTTGGCCAGTGGTGATTCCTTCTCTGAGCATTTTCCCAGTTCCTCCGCATTCTCCATCACACGAAACGTGGGTCACTTACTGCCCGCCTGGGCACTCAGAGCCACGTTTCCTGCTGCTGTCTTTGAGGTTGGCGATAACTGAACAGAGAAGGGGGCAACACGCGACCAAGGCAGCCCTGAGGTCATCCTGCTGCCCGTACAGCTGAGACCTCGTGCTTGAGTTCGTGAGTGGCGTGAGTTTGGCCGCATTACCGTTTCGTCGTGTCCAATTCCACCGCACTTCAACGGATTTCTTAAACAGCAGTCATGGAGCAACGGGATGCTCTCGGGCAACATGAGACGGTCTGGGGGCTGGTGAACAGGGTTCCAGTTCATTTAGTCGTTGTCCAGCTCGTGAACAGCTTACAATGGTAGGATCTGGTAAACAACGGTGACAGATGAGAGATGAAAAATCAACAACGGCATGCGGCGGAACCCGGGGATCCGTGAAATCCTGCATCAAGCTGCTAGAAAAATCGGCCGCCTACGCGCTACAACATTACTGTAGGAGTCACCGACCCAAGAGGTGAACCCAATAGCAGCGCATGATCCTGATCGAGGGCAACATAGAGACGGGATCAACCAATAGTGTGGCAGCACGGGTGGCAGCACGGGTGGCAGCACAGGCACGCCCACAAACTAGTCCCGCATACGCGAGGTCGGAGTCTATAGGCAGACTATGCGTTTACGGAACAGCGTCAAGGGATCGAGTGATATGATTGCCGGCGGCAGTGGCGGCTACGAAGAACCCACCGACAGGCATCGAATGGATAATTTCGACAGCCTTCTGACAGCATTCGATGGGTTCATCCGCGGCAGGACGGATGGAGCAAGCACAGACCGCAGCCAACCACGCTTTGAACATTTTGACAGTAACAGCAGGACACATGAACTCCCTGCCAAAACCGACGGCGGTGCTCGGTTGCCACGGCTCTACAGCCGATCGTCAAGCGTGTTGTCGGCAGACCTCGGTTCGCAGAGGCGTCCGGGCACTCGCAAAAAAGACCGCCGTACGTCTAGGACTAAAGCCTCACCGGCGTCTCCATCGGCAGTGAACATCCTCACCCCTCATCCTACCCTGGAAGAGCGTATTCTATACGGTCTGCATGATGATCCAATGGATCTCATGCTTCGAAGCAAGGGGAAACGGAGGTCTGGCCTTGGGGACCTGCAAATCAGACCCGGAAGTGCAGGTCTCAACAACAACGCTGCTCCCTTCGGTGGAGGAAGTTCTGCCGCAATCGCAGGGGTCTTCCGGCTCACGCACGCCGCATCAGGCTACGTGCATTACGGGTACAGCTGGGACATCGGAGGAGCAAAAGCTGAGCAGCTGAGGCGACTTGGGTTTGAAAGCGGCGACAGCTTCAGCAGCAACAGCCCCGATCTCCATCCTCACAGAGGGCTGTCCGCCATCGTTTGCGGACCCAAAGAAAACAACCTCGGGGGTCGTGGTGACTTAGAAGGTACCACACGCAAGAACCTCAGAGTGTCAGCAGAGGCCGCAATGGGCCCCATTTGTTTCGAAGTGGTACGGCGGGTGTCATTGCCGACCCGATTTCGCGCGGTTGACTTCGATAACTACTTGCGCAACGCTTGCCAGCAGGAGCTGCTGGATCGGCGTGCACACCTACTAGTGCTTGTCGCGCGGCAGTACAAAATTACATACGTAGGCCCGGCTTTCCGGCATATGCTAGTCACGTGCAGAAGAGAAGGAGAAAACGAAATGTTCGCCGCCGCCGCTGAGATTCAGCGCACCTGGCGCGGTTTCCACTCGCGTGACTTAGCGCGACGTGCACGAGAAAAGAGGGACCGTGATCGTGTAGAGACTGAGCGGGAGAGAGTGGGGGGCATCTTGGCGACGTGGGCTCAGGCGAAGCACCGGGGAAACCTGGGGCGACGACGTGCTTGCAGCTTGCGAGAGGAGAAGATCGCAGGGGCCGCGGTACGTAAAAGACAGGCCTCCGCCAACTCAGCGGTTGCGGTTCAACGTTGGATTAGATCCGTGTTTCGGCGGTGGAAGGAGACAGCAGCAGCGGCTGACAAGGCTGTCCTTGACACCCTCTTGGAGGCGATCCGTTTGGAGGAAGAGCGTAGAGATTCGCCTCCTACCGGCGAAACACTGCAGAGAAACATACGGGGCCCGCCGCGACCAATCAGCGCATCCGAAGCAGGAGTGGCTTGCGATGCCGACACAGAGATGTCCCTTTCCGGAGCTTCGGAGCAAAATTCTGGCGTGCCTCCGGATACTGCAGTACAAGAAAGAACGCCCGGCCGCAGCAACAGTCAGCAGCAGCAGAAGCATCGAAGACCGTCCTCGTCTCGACGTTCAGACGTCCTCTTGCATGACAACGGAAAACCTGGACAGGAACCTCGTTCCAGGAGGGAAAGAGAAGGCAAGCGTCCCTCGAGTGCTCCACGATCAACGCAAAAGACAGGTGATACAAAGTCGGTGGAAAGAGCTAGGCCGGCCACCCCCGAACTACCGGACGCGTCAAGGCTTGTGCTCGAAGGGGATCCTAAGTTCATCTCTGCTACGGCCATCCAAGCCGCGTGGAGGGGCTTCTTCGCCAGGTTGGGCATCAGGAAACGCCGGAGGGCAGCCGCGGCGTTGAGGAGAAAACGAGAGGGCAAGTGGCGAAAGCAGCGTGGAGTGGTGGGGAAGAGGGTAGCTGTGGCATGGGACGAGCGGAGAGACTTGGAAGAAGGGGGCGAGGGAGGCGGCGCGGGGGGGAAAGCATCCTGCACTGAAATACAGGTGTGAAGGAGGCGAAAAGGGAGAGGGAGTGGAACGTAACGCTCGAGTGGTGTGGGTGCGGTCATGTACTTGGTCTCTCTGGAAAATGCACTGTTTTATGTTGATATGGCCGGAATAGGTATGGGGTCCCGCAGATGCGATCGCCACCTCCCTCTAATATTATCTGCCTTTCCCCGTATTTTTTTTACGGTTCGCTCGTCTTGCCCCACGCGAAACCGAACCAGCGAATTTGGCGTGGTGCTTTGGGCCGAAAGGTGGCACGCCTCCTCCGCCGAAGGAAACGCGATGAAATACAAGCCTCTATTGAAATCCAGCGGACGTATCGCGGATTATTGGGGAAACGGGAGGCGAGGAGCGTCAAGGATTCCAGGAACAAAACTGTCGCGGCGGCGTTGATGGTGACAAGGCAGGCGAGATGACGTTCATATTCCAAACAAAGCGAAAAGGGGGCACGAGCTTGTCAACGTGCACGTCATTGGTGCCCGCGATTCAAAACACACGATGAGGTCGAGCCGATGAAGTACCATGCGTGTGGCCGGTTCGGGCAGTCACACAACAACCGCAAAGCAATAACCTTTGTCGAAACCCATATTCCATGCTCGCTCAGAATGCGTGTTTCGTGACAGTGCTCCCCATGGCTGTCAATTGGTGCTCATTTAGCAATGGGTAACAACACCCCATCGTTTGCCTCGCCGTTCAGTCATTTCAAGCACCATGGCGCATGCATTTTTTTTGCACTTGGGCTCCAACACTGCGATCCCATTGACAGGCTGTACGTTTCTTGAGGAACCTGAACGCACGCCGCCGTCGCCGGTACCGGGCGGCCACCATAATTCAGTGCGTCGCGCGCGGGCTAGCCAGCAGGCGCAGGTTTCAGCGTTTACGGTGCTTGCATGATGAGCACGCGGCTGCACGAAAGGTGCAGATGGTGGCGAGGGGCTGGCTCGGGCGGCGGCAAGGTCGGCAGCGCAACGTCCTCGCGAAGTTCGGGGCATGCGCTCTGTGCTGCTCGCGGCTGGCCGAGATGTACCTCGAGACCACGGAACAGGTTGGTCAGCTTTTTGAATTAGAAGACAGAGCGGGGGACGCCTGTGTCACGTTCTGAGTTTTCGGCCTCCGGCAACGAAACGCACATATACCTTTGGTTGAGCTGATGGGTAAGCTGGAGCATGAGAGCGTACGCGACCATCATAGATGATCCATCGTTGTAAAGATACAGATGAGGGGAGCACCGGAATGGCCGCATCACACTAGCGCGAGGTCTTGCGTTGGAAAGCAGGTGTCATCGGGGTCACTTCTGCTTGAGATTCGGTGCGAAGCTCCCGTACCTCCTCCGTGCGTGGCACTGAACGAACCTCGAACTCGACTCTCGCACGGAATTACAGGAGCTGTGCTTGGAATGCTACCGAACCACGGGGACGGTGCTGGAGTCCAGGAAAGTTCCACCTGCTCACTCCGAAGGGGCGTTCGAGCTGTTGGAGCATCGCAAGAGGCAGAAGGCGGCGACACTCACGCAGCGCGCTTGGCTACGTTTCCAGCGAAGGGTGGGTGTTCAGCGAGCCTCATTTCCCGCGCGCACTCGTCTCAAGATGGCGGGCGTCATGTTGGAAGTAGAGAATGCCATGTTGATACTTATGCTACGAAGCAGGTGCGAACTACGGGGTAGGTCCTAGCAGCAAGTCAAGCGGATACCAATTCTGCAGAGCACGCTTTTCCCTGATGATATGAAAACCGAAATGCTTTTAAACCTTCATCGTCTATGGCCATGGGCTCTTGCCCCTTTGCGGCGGTACTTTGTGTACGTGATTCCCGACCTGATCTTGTTGCCGTCGACCAATGATTCGCATGCCTGCCCCGAACGATGTGTACGGCCGGATAGACCAAAGTTCGCCCCTTCGCGATACACCCAACAGGCTTCAGCGAGGTTCGGTAGTTGCGAAGTGTGCCCTCGGTGGAAAGGGCCAGGCGCCCCGCTCCCGCGCGCAGCAAGGGCCGTGTGCGTCGCGGGATGCGATCGCCGCCGCCACCTCCGGTACTGCCGCCGCTGCTGCGCGATAGCCCATTCTCTGAGGGCGACCGTGGGCCACGAGATCAGGAGCGTGGACCGCTACGGCACCGAGATGGCCGCTGTGGCGACGCTTGGGGGTGCCATGTGGCGGTGAGGGTAGGGAGCGCAAGTTCATGACCGGTCGAGCCCGTAGCATTTGTATGGAATCTTGAGGGTTGGGATCATTCATGCCTCTAGTATGGTACTCCGGCTGAACAATCGATATGAGAAAGAGAAGTAATAATGAAAAAATACGTTATCGAAGTTGAAAAAACAAGGGTAGCATCAATGAGCACATCATCATCTAGCCCTATCCCTAACCCAAGCCCTGCATTTTCTCCTGTGGTCACGATGCACATCCAACATGCAACAGGTACATTATCAAGCTCCGGTTTTTGAACCTGTTTGCGTGTTATCGAAAGCATCTACACTCGTCGGCAACGCTTGTCCAATCACGGTGGCGGTGTTACCATTGCCGCCGAGTGTTTACCGCACTTCGCCGAGGGTTTCTATACGTGGAAGCGGCCGCAAGATCTGTCGAGCGCTACTGGTTCATCCGAAGCAGTAGAGAAGGTGGGCAGGTCATTTGAATTCGACTAGTAACAATTCACCAAAATATAGAATTGTAGAGTCGATCTGTCCAAGCAATGGTTGCATACACGAGCATCGGTAGCATTTTGACGAGATTGTCATGCTTCAACGGCGTTCCAATTGAAACGCTGGTGTGCAGGGTATATGGGTGCATGTTCAGGCTCACTCCAAGCTTTCCCAGTGGTCGCGCCTGCGTCTTTTTGTCCTTTCGAATATGCTGCCACTTTCGAAGTTGTCGCTTATCACATCATGTACGCCTCTTTGTTCCGAATCTTGCCGACAAAGCGCCACTGCCGCGGTTAGAACGACTGACTCCACTTGCTGTGTCTTTCTACCGACAGATATCATAGCAAACATCGCTGGATTCATGGCGTACAACGTCCAGGCTTTCCCGCCGGGGATACACCCGCCACCTTCTGGTCGTTTCGCTTTGTGGGAACGGCTCATAGTGGACGCTGTTCGAACTCGAGCTGTGACCAAAATCCAGCTAGAGTGGAGGAAGAAGATGGAGAGGGCGGTGGCTAGAGCTTTAGCACACGTGGCTCGGCTGCAAATGTAAGCAGGGGCCCGAATAGAGATAGGCAGTGGGGTTTGGTTCAAGTGTTGCTGCACATGTCCTTTCCCTGGGAAGAGTGACTGAGGAGATCTCAAGTGCGGGGCAGGGGCTGGGCACAAGCCTCTTTCACGATATGCTGTGCTTGGGGCGATTGGGCTGGTCCGACTTCTTCTTTTCCAGCGACTTCTTCCTTTCTACTCTTTTTTTATTGCGCTCCCCTTTTCCCCCACGTTTCGTTGGAGGCTTGGCTGCTTTTTCAGTGGTGACGGATAGAATTGAAACAAACAACTTCATACATGCAAGGTCAGTGGAGCCGTGGTGGCACCTCTAACACCCGCAAGGCTGTTTCCAACCATGATAACTCTCCGTCCAAATGGTAGCTCCAGCGAGGTTGCGGACCACTGTGCTTACATCTGTACCCTGCATTTTTTTGGCAGGATCGAACGACAACGCCTTCGAGCTCTAGCCGAGCTTCACGCCAGCGTCGACATCCAGCGCGCATGGCGCGGGTCAAAAGGGCGTCGGGCCGCTTTCCGCCGGGCAGCCACAATCAGGTTCGCCCAACGAACAGCCGAGCGGTACGCAAACCCTGACAGATTTGCTGTCGCAAACCTCCGCGCGTTCAATGCACACGGTGGGTTCTTGGGAGCCACAGGCGTCGATGCCCGGTCCCTCCTTGCCGCAGCCGTGGGGGTCGGCGAGGAAGGGCAAAACGCTATGACGGCAGGGGGCGGGGGAGTTAGATCTCGTGAAAGTCGAAAGGTCGGAGGCTTTGGTGACGGTGGCAAAGGCATTTGGTTGCGTCTTTCTCCGTACGGGGAGGACGACTGGGGGCTATCGGCGGACACGAGAGTGGCGGGTATCGCTGAGGTGTGCATTCGTGTTTCTCTCACGCGGTGCATCTCCTTGAGCTCGGCAGGAGGAATGCTACCCCCACTGGGCGCTGTTGGGGGCGGGGCGGGATCGGAGATGGCGCGTTTCGAAAAGGACGATAAAGTATTCAGCGGCAGAATGCGGTATGAAGATAGCCGCGATGCCCCACCGCTCACACTGAAACTGGAGCTCATTTCGGTTCAGATCGACTCGAACTATCCGAACCAGATCTCTCCATCTGAGGACATGCACGTTCGGGCTTCTGCGGCGGAGTATGGCACTGACGATGACGATTCGTCCCTTGCAACTAGTGGTAGTGGTAGTGGGGAAGATAGTGCCAGCAGAAGGGGCTCTTGTTCAAGAGATGGTAGCATCAACAGCTACAGCGTCGGCACTGGCACTGGCACTAGTGGTAGCACTAAGACCACAAGCGACCACTCCGGCGAGAGCGACGACGAGGACAGCGAGTGGAGCGGAGGAACGGGAAGGACCGCCACCGGTAGCCACACTTCCAGGGTCGGCAACACGATCAAGGACAGCACGAAGGAAAGGAGAACAGATGGACGAAGGTCCCGCGGCCGTTACCTGGAAAATGACGATTACGTAGCGGAGCGTGAGCAAGGGCAGTACCAATGTGACGTCGAGTGGTGCGGAGTCAATATAGGCGGGACTCGGGCTCAACTGGCCGGGCTGCCAACTCCTCGGTGGGAAGGGCAAGTGTTCTACCTCCCGTTATGTGCAGCCGCGACCTTCTCTCACGGCAGAACATCAGAATCAACAGCCGATGCAGATACTACGGTAGACGAGAGCTGGGCACAGGAGCATGTTTCGCGCGGACGAATAGGAGAAGGGGGGGCGCGACAACAGCATTGCAACCCTTCGCCCTCCCTCTTGAAGATCACACTCAATAGGATCTCGTGCGGCAGCGGTGGGCCGGCCTCTTGCACGGGAGGAAAGCAAGATCGGAGAGTTGACGTTGGCATAACGAATGCTCAACACCGAACACGATGGTCGGCATTTTTGTGTGGGCTTATCCAACCGTCACCTGTTGGCCGCGCAGTCCTAGAGGCCGGTGATATTCTCAGCATGCTGGGGTCCCAGCAGGTGAGTTGAAACCAATCATGACTTCCTATGGTTCCAAGGACGTTCAATAACGTAGGGATAAAGCGTGGTTGAATAAATGACCCCCCTAAGAATCAACGTTTTGCAGCCCCCCCACGACCTGCACGCGGGCTAGGATAGTCCAAACGATCGACCTCGTGTTGACGGGAATCAATCTAATTTGCAATGCGGCTGCCCTGTCGACTGAACAGGTGGTAGGCATGAACCCGCCCTCTCGATGCGGGGCGGCAGGGTCTAGCCGTCGGAAAGAGCGTGAAGACGGAGGAGAATCTGCTGTGGGTTGGTCGCTCCGGCTGTTGTTGAGCCTAGAAAACACGGAGAGCACCCGCACTCGCCTCCTCGTGACAGACGTTCTGGGAGGGATCATCCAGGACATCTTGGATGCTATCCCAGGGCAGGTACGACGAAAGCGCGTGTTGGTACGTTTACCATCACCCCGCCGTGTCATGAAGAAATCGCTGGGTGTCACCAGATTTCCCCCCAATTCCCTGCCCCCGCCACACTTGATAAAAGGTGCCGCGAATCGAGATCCGCGTGGTCGGCACGCGTGCAGTACCTACTCCCAACGCTGCAAAGATCACCTCCTGTGGCCTCTCCAGCCGACAGCACCGCCAACAGCCGGGAGTTACCGCCTCTGGCGCACCACGCCACCACGAGCCGGCGCTCCATCTCTGTGCTGAGTGGAACGGGAACCACGCCGCGTTCATGAAACTGTCGTCCTGCGAAGACGGTCCGATGGTGGTAGACGAGGTTTTGTTTCCTGATTCCCAGAATAGCATCGGTGAGAGCTTTGACAACGACGATTTTGGGACAAGCAGCGAATGTCCGGCGCAGGCGACAGCAGCCGCCAAGTCCAATATGATTGTTCTTCCCGTGTACGTGCCATGGATTATGAAGGACGCTTCCAATGACAATCACTCAGAAGTGCTAAGTCGCACACGTCGCCCTCGTCGAAGCACTGGTGGGGGTAACGTTGATCGGGACGACAGCTACGAAGGCGATGAAGGAGGTGGGCGTTCGCATTGTCTACGAGTGACGGTGGGTACAGAGGTCCAACCTGGCCGAGAACGAAGAAAGTTGGACATGCTGGGTCACGGGTCTCACCACAATGGCGTGATGGGACCTACCACATCTTCATCCTCAACCGGTTGTACCTTCGCATCCTCACAGCAGCTGACAGAGGTCTGTTTCTTCGAGCGAGACCTCCTGCGCGATGATTGGACCGAGATCTTGGTCCCGGTGTTTCGCAATTGCCCCGAGGAAAACGCTCGGGATCTGGTGCGAAGGCCGACGAAGCAGAAGCGGTGCCGATGCCACCCCCAAGCAAACAGAGTGGTTGTTCTGCGGGTGAGATCTGCCGGGCTTCAACCCAAGCCGCCACCCCTCTGGCTAGTGCGACGCGACTGTGCAGAACGTGCGGTCAAGAGGATCATATCGGCGGCGGCAGCGGCCGTCGTACAGCCACGGGTGGAAGTGACCCTGGTGGGTTTGTGTGGCGCCGTCGAGTCACTACTGTCGGAGTGTGTTGATACGCAAGGGGAAGGCGGGGTTGAACACGCCACACCTCGTGCGGAATCATTGCGTCCTTCGAACGACAGAGGAAATTCGGGCGATTCTTCTTGTGGAGAGATTCTGTGCGAGGCCTTCTGGAACGGGGGTCTTGTGCACAGGCTGCGGTTGCGGCGAGCCGTCCGTTCTTCAACTCCGCTTATTGCTGAAAGCAAGGCAACATTCCCCGCGCTCCACCCAGAGGGCACATTACCAATAGGCGCAGACGATCAAGGTGACGTCAAGCGCTCTTCTTCTCGTTCCGCGGCTGCCACAACAGCCTCCAAGTCGCGCTCCTCTGATCCCAACCAGGTTGAACTCGTGGATCCCAACGGAGTGGGACTTGACCAACCCGCAGGCGGGTCCAAGCCCAGAGGTGCCGACCCATCAACGTGGTTTTCCGACGGCGGCGACGAAATGCTTAGTAACGACTGGGTCAGCTTAGGCGGCGGCGTACTGGCTTCTCCGAGACCTTCCAGCGCACAGGAGGAAGCACCATCCCACAAGCAACAGGAAACCTTCGGAGCATCACAAGGCAACGGTTTGGGCGAAGACGAAGGTCATCGTGGTGACAGTCCATCGTCATCTAAGCGATTAGGTGAGGGTGGGGAGGGTGGATCGACACATGCTCTGCGGTGGATTCCCGTGGAAGGAGACGCCTACACCGGGCGGCCTTTTCGATTGTCCTTACCGGCATGCCTCGTGGACAACGCCTGCGGCAGCGAAACAGGGGACCATCGTCCGGAAGTTGGCGACAAACCGGACAGGGAGGCTGGCAACGAAGGTTGGTTGGAGCCCGATCGTGACAACGCTCATGGCGCCAGCCTCAACGAGACCGAGCATGGCGACGGAGGTGCAAAGGTTCGGGGCGATTTGCGGCTGGTATTTTGGTCAATTTCGACGCCATCAACAGTACCGGCGTCATCATCGGCGGTGGACGATGTTGCTTCTCGCGTGGTAGGGCGAGCAGTGGACGATAGCCCGAACGACGTCTCATCCGGTGCTGAAGGCAGTACCGCAAAGGTTGTGAACGCAAGGACGAATGCCAAAAATATGGGTCGTGCTGGTCCCGGCGGCGGAACTGGGGTTGTTGCTGCAGCTGCTGCCGTGCGACGTGGGCGTGGGCGAAGACGAGAAAAAACGCGGAGAGTTCTCGGTTGGGCAAGTTTGGTGGACGATGAGCTGTTGCTTCAGCCTCCAGGCCAGAGAGTCGAGCTGGCGCTATCGGCAAAGGCAGGACTAGACACACCCACAGCATGGTCATTGACTCACCACCTAAAGAGGTGGGCCCAATATCAGAGCGAGGGTTCAGGGCTAGAACGTTCGTGTTTTTTGGCGTAAGTATGATTTGCTCGGTACTTGATACGACTACCTGGAATCTCCGCCTTGCCAAGCGTTGCCATGCGCGTCATCACCGTCCCCATGCCTTTTCACCGTTATCCCTACAGGAAAGTGACCGCCTACCGGGCTACTCAAGCCTCCGTTGTTGCGGTTGTGCGGCACTTCGACGTTCCGCGAGGTCCTTTGCTTGGTCTCCAGTGCCCAGCGCCATTCTTCGAGGTGGGTCACCAACTTAGCCCCTTCAAGTCAGTCGCCACAGACTTGAGCCAGTTTCTACAGTGTGTAGGTTGCTGTTTGTGTGGTTACGCGTCCTACTACTTCATGCCATGCATTCCAACGTTCTTTTTTTTCAAAATGAATTCATCTCGATCCACAGATAAGAGTCCAGCAACCAAGTTGCAATAACTTTTCGGGCCAACACATCGGTGAACCCATCTCCCCCATCCCATCCCGCATTCCCAGCCAAGTTATCGTACGACTTCACGCGGGGTTTCATGTGCTGTCTTGCACCCTCGTCCTCCCTACCTCGGCGAATTCCCGACAGGTGGAGGTAATCGACGGCCATGGCCTACCGAAAGACCCGGGACAGCTGAGCGTCAATCCGTACGTCGTACTGACTCTCGACGGCGAGCCCTTTGCCCGTTCGTCGACTTCTCGTGGGGCGACGTTTCCCGTCTGGTCTTCGGAAGTCTTTATGGTGCAGCTCCCGCCACCCCCTCCGGGAGCGTGGCATCTCACTGCGCATCACTACTTCCAGGGATATCGGTGAGAAATCGGACAGCGCTCCCTCCACTCCGGACGGTTGGTGCGGTAAATGAACACAAGTGTTTTCCGTGCGCATGTGCAGAATTGGTTGAAGTGTGCTGTCAGGCAGAAACAGTTCTCGTCTCTTTTCAGCAGGGGGATGGTGTTGCATGAGACATCACTCCATGCGTATGTAGTACCTTGTTAGGACCCTCCAATCTGAGGTATTTTCATCATCGGTATGTTGATGGCGTGCTTCGCCTTCTTCACACTTGTGAACGCCCTGGCGTACTCTTGCGTCGATATTGGGTGGGCGAAACTTAACCCGGTCGAAAAACGTGAATGGCTCCCTAATACCCGGAGGGAGACTCTGATCTCTCCCTACTCGTTAACGCTGGAACGAAACAACTCTCATAACAAGGGGGAAACCATTCACGCTCGGAGCGAGAGTGTACAGTCAAGTGGGGCCCCAAGCGGCGGCGGCCGTCGTTCAAAAGGGTGTACTCAACGGCGGGGTCGGCGAAGGCGACGTGCTCTTGGGGGAAGCTCGGGTGCCCTTCTCGCTCTTGAAAGAAGTGCCGTTCCACTACCTCCCACTCCGGCTCCACCCGCCACACCCGCCGCAACCGTCTCGGTGCGGCTGCTGGTCGGGCGTCGAAAACGCGTCCACTGCCATGACGGGGGAAGGTGGAGACTGCGGTGCCGACTTCGGCAGCACGCGCAACTGCACAAGTTCTGGGGGGCCCTCTTGGAGCGAGACGTCGGTACTTCAAGGGGATGTCGTGCCAGATTCTGGCCTACTGGGCATCGGTGTGCGGATCGTTTTTCCCAGCCCGACCGTGCCGGATGTTCCCTGCGCTTCCTCCGCCTCAGACGAGACCTTGTCGGACCTACCACTGCCTGCCGGAGCCGTTTCTGACGCCGGAAGGGAAGCAGCCACCGGTGGGGTCGAGGCGATGGGTGACGCGATCGTGCTCAGCGTGTACGAGGCGGAGGCGCTGGTGAGAGCCCACTCCACCATCACATTTGTGTTTTCAGTGCACATCTGTGTGCGGCATGTCGTATGAACCACGTTGTGCAGCGGCAGGTGTTCGTTTCTTTACCGTCGTGCATTGCAATTGGAACGACGTAGGGTGCGAGACAGGGACATGCCGTGTTTCTGACCTGTGATGGTAGTTTGCGCGCCGAATGGATGCTTCGCAGTTGGATTGTCAGGAACTCATACATGCACGTAGCATGCCCCGGGCATCCTCCTGCTTTTCGTAGGAAGCCTGCTGTTTTTAGCTGCCAATAAGACAAGTGAACACATCATCCGGAGCAATCGAAACTCGTCGTTGGCCATTTGCATCTCCACGGCCAGGTCAAGGAGACCAGGCAAGGAGAAGGGAAGGAGACCCCGACCCCGTACTGTGTGGTCCTCGTGAACGGCCTCGAGGTGGGACGGACCACGACGATCCCAAACTCGTCGGAGCCTATGTGGGCAACCGACTTCCGTCTGCCAGACAGCCTCCTGTGCGTAACGAACCCGTCAAGAGGAACTCCTAAGACGGCCGATAGCGGCGGGGGCGGTAGGTTGCGGCCACCCCAACACCCATCCCGGCGGGCCGACCGAGTTTCGGGAGCGTTGACCTTGGAGGTGTGGAACAGGGTTCCAGAGGGAGACCCCGTCCTGTTGGGAGCTGTGGAAGTTCCGTCCGACCTGCTGCAGGAGGTCATGTCGTCACCTGCGCCCGCGGATAAAGACGAAAGAGGGGTTAGCCGAGAGGACCGAGGCACGGCGGGTGAAATCGAGGGGTGTTCACCAAGGCTCCACTTGATTGACTTGAATCTCAAATCGCCCGTGAAAAATACGAAGCAGGGGCAGCTGCCGGAGACGGGACACGACGAGAATAGCATGGTTGACACAGTAGCGGGAACGCTACCAGCGGCAGCCGAGGCCTACGGCGGCACAGGGGGAGTGCTGAGCCTGTCCCTCAGAAGGGTTTTTGCCACCGCGAGACCGAGTACTTCGAACATACCAAACGGACCAAGCGCGATCGCGGAATCTCCCGGTCTGCTGGCCAAGGAAAATGGAAGCAACCCTGAGGCGAAGGTTCCCGGGACGCGGATCTCCGAGGTAGAAAGCTTTTTATGCTTGCTGCGAAGGCCTTGAGATTGTGGGGTAGGTTCAGAATCGAATCAAGGGCTGCGGAAGGACCACAATTGCGTGGTATTGAATCCAGGGCCCATAGAGTGACGGGTGGGGCTGGTTTCGGGGGGGGGGGCTTTGACGTTGTCAGTTAGTCTAGCCACGACGGGAGCAGGGTTCCCACGAAAGTTAATTGTACGGGCCCGGAAAGCAAAACATCCTATCCGTCTCTCTGACGTCTTCACCCATTCGAGACGTGTACGTTGTACATGCAGGTGCCCCCGAACGCACACAGTATGCTTTTATTGCGACGTGTCTGGTAGCCGAACACCGACCTCGATCACATCCACTCCGTATTCAACGCAGACCGCTCTTCAACGATACCGTTCCAAGAAGTTAAAAAGCCTCGCCGATTCGACCCGAGCGGCCAGGGAAAAACTCGACGAGGCGAGGGCCCTGCTGGCTGACGCAGGATCTACCTCGAGGGGGAGAAGTGCCAACGACTGTGCCAAAGAGAACGCCGCGCGCTTTGTACGGGCTTGGGAGAGGGAGACGTCCAGGGCGGAAAGGGCGCAGTTCCTGGAGGCGAAGAGGTCCACATCAGAACTTGGACAGGTCTGCGCTTTATTACCCGAGATTTTGTGTGGCATTCCTTCCCGTCCGGTGGATGGGCGCACGAGCACACGAGCACCTAGACGGCGCGTAACGTCTCGACGTTCTGCCTTGTCGAGGGCATTGGTGTAAGGTCTTGCTTCGATATATATGCTCAGGCTATGTTGCATCACCGTTGGTTGAAATTCACCTCATAGATACATATCTTGGATTTGGTGTGTGCGGGGAGGCTGTGTGTGGTTGCAGTGCAGCAAGATGGGCTGAACGTATTGGTTTGATCTTCAGAGTGAATGCAATCTAATAGTTTGACGACTGGCTGTCCCGACCTGGCCGTCATATTGCAGAGTTTGCCCGAAGCGGGGAGGTCCGTGTGCCCGTTTTCTGCACTCCTCTCTAGACTTGGCAACCTAAACATTTTCTCCTATAGTGTATGTTGGTTGATTTTTTTTTTTCATATCCGATATACCGTAACGACTGCTAATCTCCAGGAGGAGAGGATAAGTCTGTCCCGAGAGGCCAAACGAAGGGCCGCTCTACGGCGAAAAGATCCCAAACTGCCGACCCACGATCACCGGACAATCACGGTCGCTCCAGACGAAGCAAACGATAGCACACAGCATCGAAAAGCTCATCCTGTGGGAAAGGACGACGTCGACGTGCCCTCTCTAGCAGGAGATCGAAACAAGGTAGCGCTGGCGAAGACAAGCTTGTCGCCTTAAGCGAGATAGGTCGGCGATGTAGTGGCTCAGTAGGATTCCGATAAAGGCGCGCGTGTTCAATGGGATGGTGGGGAGCAGTGGTTGTTTTTTGCGGGGTGGCCTCGATGAACCCTTGATGACGGCCTCGCTTGATACTATGCGGAGTCATTTGCGGTGCGTCGAAATGTTACAACATGCGGGGTTTTTGGGGGGTGGCCTCGATAAACCCTTGATGACGGCCTCGCTTGATACTATGCGGAGTCATTTGTGATGCGTCGAAATGTTACATCGTGCGGTTTACCGGAAGGTTTTTCAATTGCCACTCGGACGAACCTGGGCACGATATGCGCTTTATACTGCACGGCAACACTTCTCAAACAAAAAACGATTGCTGTGTACATCAATATCACCCATCGTTGGGGGAATCACACAACATGAACAGGAAAAACCGGGTGACGTCAACAAGCAGCTGGTTGAGGGTTGCAAAGAGGACGACCACCAAGGAACACACGAAGAACACGATCGCCGGGAGGATGTGGAGCTCAATGGCGATGAACATGACGAAGAGGGAGAGGGAGAGGAAGAGGAAGAACCAAGCGCTCTGGAAACAATTCTGCCTCGGCTTCCGGCCGCCCAGAAGGAAGTGTTCGTCAAGGTGGAAGGGGTTTCCGGCCTCAGTGCCCCGTTCACAGCAAGAGGAAACGCCGTGTACGCTAGAATCTTTTGGAGTGGAGAGGAGGTAAGGAGTAGGTCTGGCGTGGATGGCATGACGACAAACTCTGGGGGTGGCGGTGCCGTGGTGGAATAACAGTGGTACCGTTCCCCGTGGCGACGGCAGAAACTAAACCGTCAACGGCACAATGATTTACTACTAAAAACAAATCCAATTGCATTCACACCGAAGGCCTTCGCTCTATTTTTTTATTTGTACATGGATGGATTCTGTGAAGCCGGGACTAAGCTGTTCTGCTGTCCGTTCTTTTGTGCCCCCCAACACGAAACACCGTCGAAATTAAACCACGCGTGGTGGTGTGCACTCACTCGACACGAGGAAGGTGGCGCGGACAAGCAGTGTCACCCCCTCGCAGCAAGAACCTCTCCACCAGCCGGCTCCAGCCGCCACTGCTCCGGCAGCTTACGTTCATAGCATCCCGGGGAGAGGCAGCGACAGCAACGACAGCGTTAAGAAGGTGGACGTGCTCGCGGGCGGAGAAAACCTTGCAGACAAGATTCGCGACGCCGCAGGCACCGCCGCCGCGTCCGTCGCAAACGCCACCGCGGCGGCCGTTCATGCGTCGGGGGGGGGAGGAGTAGGAGGTACGATGGAGGGCCACTGGGAGCAGGAATCATTCGTCTTGCCTCTCCCCCACGGTGATGGCGCTAGCGGTGATAACGAAGCGGGTCAGAGCGTTGACCTAGAGACCGCTGATGGCCTGTTGGGGTCCAATGTGCAAGGGGCTGGTGATGGAGGCGGTGACACCGCAGGTGGAGACAGCACCAGTGCCAGTCTCGATGATGGTGTTCATCTGCGCGTTGAGGTTTGGCAAGGCAAGCACTGCCATGGCCAGGTGAGTTCCACATTTGGCTTGTGGGACAGTTAGCCCTCGAATTCCTATGCTACTCAGAGCAGTTCAGACTGTTCGCATATCAATACAGGGGCCAGATGCTTAAACCCGTGCCCTTTTCCTGGCAGTCAGGCTTTTTCAAAAGCGTGGCCCCAAAATACGATGGGGACCCGATGTAGCGCGATCAACATTCTCCTGCAACGTATTTTCGGCGACTGCACTTGTGTGTTCTCCACTCCGAACAGAGCGGTAACTCGCACTAACGCGGGTTGTTCTTTGCCGCTAGCTTCTGAGAGAACCTGACAACCCCACATTACTGACACCCATCTCGACACATATATATGTGTTTGTGTGCTCTTCCGACAAAGCGTCTTTCGGAATGTGCGGTGCGGTCCAGACGCAAGAGGGTCTACCGGATACTTCGGGCCGTTTTCCAAACTCATCGCGTGAAAGCCTCGTACCGCACAAAACCTACGCTTGTTTAGACGTATGCACAGTTCTCATCAAAAACCACGGACATACTCCTCGCCTGTACCCACTGCAAGCTCTCGTATACGGGAATAGCCTGTGGTTGAATGTCCTCGCCAATACCGCTGCCCTACTTCATATCCCCCCTTGTGGTCTACGGTGGTTACGGATGGTGCGTTCGTTCGTTCAAACAGGTCGAACTAGAGGGCACCGAGCTCTTGCGCATGTGCAAGAAGGTACAAAACGCCACGCCTGGAGGCCGAAGTGCCTTTATCGCCGAGAGCGGAAATGGACGGATTCGCCTCCCCGACCATTTCCCTCACTTCTTACCCAATCCTGAGGCAAGGCCTTCTGTGTGTGCAGTATATTTACAGCGTTGCCGCGATGCCATGAGTCGTCCTACTGGAACCGGTTCTAGAGAAACAAACAGGCCTACAGAGGCTGAAAGTGGCGTAGTGACTGCTTTGCCTTTTTCATCTAGGGGCGGGTTCGTCACTTTAATCGCCTTTAACAGCACGTCCATCGGCATGACAGGCGGCCTACACCGAGTAAAAGCTTTTGTCGTTGTACGCGTTACTCTTCCCAAAGAAAATGCCCCCGCACCCTACGCTCTTTCTACTGTTTTACCCTCAGGCCTTCCGGCCCTACAAGCTCGCCCTAGTTTCTCGTGAGGACGACGGGCACTACAGGGAATCCTCGGCCGCGGCTCCAGCACGTCTGACTCTCACCTTGTTGGCGCTGGAGCCCGGACAAGTGGTAGCGGCGCAAGCACAGCTCGCCGTTGCGCTCGAGGACACGGGATCGCGCATCTTACGGCAACAGCAAGATGGTAAGAGTTGCGCTCAGAAATTCCGGGAGGGGCGCGCGAGGTGTCGAAAAGACACCCGGCGACACTTGAATATGTCCTGCTGGGGATCGGAATCGACCTATTGGCACCGCGTCTTTTGGGCGTACAGTCTAGGAGGGACCAAGCAGGTAGAGAAAGCTCCGTTCGATTTTCCTGAATACCTTGTAACTGGTTTCGATGAAAATGCATTGTGAGGCGCGAGGCAAGCACAGCGTGCAGATACATTTCCGCGTACGTTGCGGCGTAACGTCCTTGTGCTCTTGCCTTCCAACCGAAGAGTGCGCCGACGCTGGAAACGGTACGCTGGATCCCGGGGGTAGAGGCGACGACAACACTGCCAAAGAAGGAGCTCGGGCGAAAGCAACGGGAGTAGCCGAGGACTTGGTGAACGTCCTGTGCGCGCGACGCAGCCCCCTATGCTTTCGGGTTCAGCCCCTGGTCATTCACATTAATTCCTTCGACGACGACAGCAACACCAGATGGACAGGAGCTGGAGGGTCCGGTCTATTCTTGGTAGCAACACGCCAAGTGCTCGCCGCTGCGCCCGAGCAGGGTTCATATCCGGGCAGCGACGGGAAAAGCGGGGTATCCCCGACGGCTACCGCTTCTAGCTCTGCCGCTGGCGCGCAGGGCGACTTGTCCATCGTACGCCGACATGGCGCAGGTGACCGCAGCCACAACGACAACAGGCGCGTTGTTGAGGAAGAGGAGCTCGGCCGAACGGCACTCTTCGGCATCCATTCTGGTACAACCATCGTGCCCGGCACGTCGTTTACCATCCCGCCTAGCGCCCTTGTGGCGGATGTTAAGCGGCTGAGCCGGAACGGGAGAGGTGGGGCCACCTCATCGATCCCTGACTTTCGGAGCGAAGACCAATCGGAGGTAAGAGTAGTCCTAGAAATCGTCCAAGGCGGCGACACGGGAGGCGGGCGTGGGTCGGTTGCTCCTGGCGGGCAAAGGCTGCCTTTTCTGAAGAAGCGCGCAACTGCAACTCGAGATTCAACCTCCGAGAAAGGTGAGGGCGGCGGGGCCAGGGTGGTAGCCCGTGCGACCCTCGATGCCGGGTTCTTGCGCCATACGATCGGCTGCCAGCGGTCGGTGGGAATGACGACGGTGGCTCCCTCGGTGGGGGAGGCGAGCGATGCCAAGCACAGCAAGGGAGAAGACGGTCAGTCGCCAACACGTTCTCCTTTCGCTCGGCTGGATGTAGCCGGGCACGTCGTTAGCGCCAGACCGGGGCGACCGCGGCTCAGGCTCCAAGTGCAAGAGTGCCAGAACTTGAGGAGTGCGGACATGCTCGGCAAGAGCGATCCCTGCGTTCTGGTGTTCTGGAACGGGGTGGAGGTTGGCCGCACGCCGATCGCTCGCGACGATCTACATCCCGTGTTTTCGGCCGCCGGGAGTACGTTCCGACTCCCCCTGCTACCCCCGCCGATATCAAACACCCTCCACTCTGGAGACGGGAGGAGTGGGCGATCCAGCCTCCAGAGGTCAGTCGATTGGCGAGCGTATGCCCCGGAGCTGCGCCTGGAGGTGTGGGACATGGATCGAGACACATTCAGGAGGAAGTGGAAGAAGGGGAAGCTCTTGGGGAGCGTGGACCTGCGTGGCCCTTACGGCATCGCTCCGCTCATCGAGGCGTCCGCAGTGCAGGATCCGGGCGTGGGGACCACCGCTCACGTGGACAACAAGATTCCCGGGGTGTTTCTTCGGCTTCGCGCTCCTGATGGCCAGGGATCCAAGCACGGGGCGGACGGAGGCGAGGCTGGGCAGGCCTTCGCCGGGGTGATTTCCATCCGTATCTCGATCGAGAACGACACCGACGACTCAGAAGCGTGGATATCGCAAGCGCCCGCCGCCTCGACGAGTTCTCCCGCCACCATTCGTGAGGCCCGTTCAACAAAAGTCGGAGCTGTGGCTACAAATACCTCGGAGTTGAAGTGCAGTCGGCCGGCACAATCGTCACTCAGTTCCGGGGATACCACTCTTACGGTTGAGGCAGGTCGCAAGGCCAGTCTGGGGATTCGCTGTCTCGATGCACGGGGGTTGCCCGCGGGATGCGATGGGTACTGCCGGGTGTTTTGGAACGGTAGACAGGTTGGAAGCACTCTCTCAGCGTCCCGTTTTGCTCAGGAAACGCGCCACACCACCGGATTAGGCCACGCGGCGCCTGCGTCGGTGTATCAGCGGAATCCGGTTTGGTGGGCCTCTTCGGATGAGATGCTATCTGATGATGATCGCGGCTACCGAAAGCCTAGCCTTGACGAGTGCAGCAGTGCTACCGCCGTTGTTCCTCAGAACGAAAGCCCCACAGTAGCAGACGAGTTGATGCTGGAGGTTTTCGACGGAAGCACGCGCAAAGAGGGGAAAAAGAGCACCGGCGGTATGCTTCCATGCCGCGCCTCCTGGGGGGAGTCCGTCGCAGGCAAAGATGCCGCCGATCTAAAGGCTGGTGGGATTGGGGTGGGTGTGAACAACGCTACAACAGGTTGCCGTGACGTATTCGGGCGCTCGCTCGGAATCGTAACCATTCACGGGGAGCATCTCACGAGCCCTCCACACGGCCGCATCGACCTGCCCCTTCTGTTACCTCCCTCTTGCAAGGGCATGAACGAATCTGGGATTACCCTCAGCATATCGTTGAAACAGATTGTTGATGGCGTAAGCTTCGCTGATGTTGCCGTTCCTCGGCTCATGAGGGCAGCTGAGCAGCGCAAAAGCAACGATAATGTTCCAACAACAACGAGATCATCTATCACCACCAACACGATGTTGGTAGCGAAAGGCGAGGGTGGGGAACCGGAGTCTCTGAAAGAGCAAACGACTTCTCAGCGCCCCACGCGCTGGCTGAGGCTTTTGCTCCAAGGGGCCCGCCTTCGGAGAGGGCTTGACGTGTCTGGCACGAGCGACCCCTTTTGCACTGTCTATGTGGACCGCGTCTGGTTCGCTGAGACGCGCGTCTGCTGGGGCACTCTCGCACCCAGATGGGACCAACGGATCGAGATCGAGGTGTTCGGGAGGGAAGGGGCGCTTGCGCAGGGGCTAGGCTTGGTCGGCCACGAGATACGGGTGGAGGTGTGGGACAAGGACGTAGTCGGTGCCAACGACTTCATCGGGGAAGTTCATTTGTTTCTTCGCGAATGCCAAGACGGGTGAGGAGTGTGTGTCGTGTGTGGCCTGGGAGGTAGGTGGAAGGCTGGCCAAGCTGTACACTCTACATATCAGTAAAACTAGGCACCATCATCGGATCTGGGAAGTGGTCGGAGGGAATGGGATGCCAAGCTCCTCGAAGGGGAATTGCAGTGTAAATTCTCGCACTCTATCTCTAACCTACCCCAGTTTCCATGGTCTAGCGGGGCAGTCCACGGATGTATCCGTTGGGAGCCTACGGCTCTCGTGTCCGTTGTATGGTACCACAGATGCGCATGATTCCCTCTTGCTGTGACGCGAATTCTCATCACACGACGTAGCATGAGATGTGTGTCGGAAAGAGAAGGTCGATCGTTCTCATATTTCGCATGCAGGCAGTCGGGATTCCGGGGTGCAGCTCGCGCTTGGTAACCAGACACACAAAGATGTATCAAAATTCGGTGTCGCCTGTGTCAGGACATACCCCCAGTAACTCTGCCAGTTTAGTGTATACCGAGTGCTGATTCATTGACAGGTACTCTATCATCGCCCTTCGCCGCCTGCTGTGTCGTCCCCTTCGGGCAACCAAGAATGGTCGAAGTACGAACCCGTGCTGAAGCACAGCCAACGAGAGAAGATGCCATGAACATCAGCCAAGCTGACGGGAAAGCTGGCTTGCAGTATCACACGCTCGAGCTTTGTCGGGAAGGGGAGAAAGAAGCACCGACGACGGGAAAACCAGGCGATGAGTCTATCGGCACGCTTTCTTGCGCCACAGTGGTGTACACAGAGAAAAACTGGAAGGCCGAGGTATGAGTCGAGGAACATGCTTAGTTGCCGAAATATCCCCTACCGCTCTTGGAAGACCAGGTTTGCGTCAGGATCATTAGTTCTTCTTCAAGCAGCGTCCGTGGGGGGAATCGTCTCCCCTGTAGTCTCTCTCCAAAGCAACATTTTCTCCCAGATGTTGTGGGAGAGTACTGGCATCGTTGTGCGCCACTCTCACGAATGGTTCGTTTTCACCGTGCTAGATGCTCTGTTGTAGCACATAGTTACCCCCCCCCCCCCGCCCAACACACACAGCGGCGCCCTTCTCACCCCTATTCCGCCCTTCCCTCGTCCGTGCACCCGAAGATCGCAAACATGAGCCTGCCTTGGGTACTCGGGGCAAGCGTCTCCTCCCTCATGGGCAGCGAGGAAGATTGTATCGTGATACAGTTAGTCGGCGCCGTGTTGAAAGCGAAAAAACAGCTCCCGCATGCTACTCCTGGTTCTGGCTGTTTCGCGTTGCTGCGGTGGGGAGGGAGCATTGTGGGTCAAACTCCCGTGTGTCGCGATTTGCATGAGCCAACCTGGCACGAGCAGGTGCGTATCGGATAGACTCGAAGCCTCGTTAAATTGTTTTCTCGTTCTCTACCCGACACACGCTGCTGCCAACATAAGTAGCCTACAATACATTACCGCAGGAGACATAACTTACTTGGACTCCCACTGGTAGAATCGAATGTCCTCGACGCTTCGTCTGCCGCACGAATGACATTCACAGTATTTGTGTTGTCTGACTCCACCACATTGCATCTACAGATCTTTGCGGTACAGATGGACAGGAGAGTTTCGGACAACGTCCTCGACATCGACATCTACGTTGCAGACACAGATACGTCTGCGCCTGCGGAGGGTGCCTCAGCCCCTCCTGAAGACTCGCTCGTTGCAAGGTGAGGAACCCTCAATGTTTCTATCGTACCCGCTGCGAAAAACATCAGAACATGTGATCGCGTGAGCAAATGCTTCAAAACCAAATCAGGCGAGTTCGCTTGCTTGCATAACGTGTTTGGCAGCATCTGAGTCTGCAGCTCTTTGTTGCCGGAACTGCCGTCCCGCCAGGTGTCGCTTAGAGGGCCCGTTCACGAGCTCAAGGTTCCCAGACTTCACAAGTAGCCACCCCCTGCTTTGTCTAGGGGACGCGGAAAGGGCAGCACAAACGGTCCCAGACCGCGACCGCCCTGTTAGAAAGAACGAAGCTAGGCCAAGGCGGAGTTGGCCGAAAAAGAAACGTAATTCCAGCGTCGTTGGATCCGTTAGCCTGCGCATCGGGATTACTGCCGCCACAGCCAGCACGTGTGGTGGTGGCATCGGCAAGGCGACAGACGCGGTGGGGGACGAAGACGCCCCGGAAGTTAGCAGGCGCAGGACGAACGCGGTGAACCGTAGGCTGAGGATGCACGTCGGGTGGGTTTCGCTGGCACGCATGCTAGGCCGAGTGCCCAACTCTTTGAGTCCAACGAAGGATGCTAGGGCAAATCCGGGAGGATCAGCGACGCACGACGAATGCACTTCAGCGCAACAGCCTAGTCGGGGCAGCAGCTTAACGAGGATGCGGCCGTCTATTCAGTCGCGTCAAAACCATCTGATCGTCGGCGGCTCGCCGGCCTCAGCGAAACAACCCTCGAGCAACAGTGGCAGCGCCCTGCACAACACAACAAACGTAGCGATGGTTCCGTCTTCTCCACTATCACTGGCTAGTCCTGCCTCGGGCGTATTTTGTGTGGTGATCTGGTGCGGAATGCGGGTAGCCTCGTTCGAAATTTGTCCTAGCACGGGGCTGCCTCTCACTCCGGGAGAGTGCCTCTTGGAGCTGCCTAGGGGCGCGCCTTGGAACTGTTGCCGTCTCGTTCTTGAGGTGATTGCTACCGAGCAATTCATGCAGCACCCGCGCATGGAGGAGGCTCAAGATATCTGGCATCACATTCGTCTGCTTCATTCACCGACGGACAGTAACACCGCGAAAGGGCGGGATGGTGATCTTGGAGGTCCAGATGACGGGGCTCACCACCTGTTGGGAAGGGTCGTCGTAGGTTGGCAGGTGAGGATGTGACCAATTGTGTGGAAGAAAAAAAAGAAGAGTTCCGCGTCATCTGCCGGTTTGGGTATTGGTGTACGCGAGGAGGGAGAGGGACGCTGCAAAAAAAGGACAACATCGTGAGGGAGAGCGACAATGAGAAGAGTATTCTATAAATTCGGTTGCATTCGGTCCCTCGACCCGTCCTCCGGCAATGGGCATGTTTTCATGGCGGGGCACGTATCCGATGAAGACGTCTCACTCTGAAGAAGGTATTTCGGAGCGTTGCACAACGCAGGTCATGCTGATAAATCAAGCCCTTGCGCTGCGCGTACGAATGGTCCTGCCACCTCTATTCGCCGCGCGTGTTGTTTTTTCCCCATGTTTCGCACCGAACACCATCAGGCACTCAAAACGATGAAAGAACAGGCTTACCGATTCACGACTTGCCCTGAAGACGCCGTTGCCGAGGAGGAGGGTAGCGAGGGTGGAGACAAAGGATACACTGATCTCCAGTGTTCCCTGTGCGTCTCAACAGACGAAGGGAGCAATCGTCCAGCCCACCCCAAGAACGATGGTATCTGTGGTGATTCAGCAGACAAGGACCACCCGCAGTCCACTTTCTGTCCAGAAAGTGGGGGCATGAGAGAAAGTCGAGCATGGAGAATCTTACCTGCGCGGATAGCGATGTCTGTTCGCCTCGAGCGTCTCATGCCGTCACGCACACCGCGCCCCTCCCGCGTGCCCGAAGTGGCACCCAGGAACTCTGTTTGCCGGCTACGCCTAAGCATCCTTGGAGGGGGTAGATCAACCCGCACGTCGCATCCGGGATCGCTGCGGCACGGTCCCTCCCTGTCGGATTCGTCCACTGTTACCGTTGGGTGGAACGGCTGCGATCGAACAGTTGGACCACCGTTGGAATGGCAGATCCAAGTTCCTCCTCTGTGTGGCAACTTTGCACCAACATCAGGTCTGAGCAAAGACATTCTGCTGGATATACCGCGGGACAGCCGAAGCGATCTCTCTTTAACCCTCCGAGAAGTAGCTACGCCGCTTGGAACACACACGGGGGAGAGTACGGAGCAAGGGACTGGTGCTGTGGCGACGTTGGGAAGTGTAACGATCGACTGGGACGGACTGTCTTGCCTTGCGGCAAGCTCAACGGACTACTTCGTCGAACCGCCGGACGGACGGTTGACATCGTCGAAGAGCATGCACCCACTTCAACCCTCCATGGTGAACCTAGAGTTCGTCGCACCAACAAGAGCGGCCGGCGTCCACGAACACAAGCAAGAAGGAGGTCCGACACCGGGGGAGTCACAAGTCACCGGCGAGAATAGGCATAGCAACAACGGACCCATCGCCCGTTGTTATCAAACCACTGGGTTTCGCATCCGGGTGAACCTCCAGCTGGAATTGTCTCCAGCATCCGTCCCGCACTTGCTTTCTTTTTCGCCCGTCGCGGCAAGGGGTCCGACGGCTATTCTGTCAGGAGCGGGAGCGACGCAAGCCGAAGTCGGCCGCCTACCGGTGGATGGCATTTCTGTGGGAGACTTTAGGGACCCCTGCCGTAAGGAGCGCCTGCCGTACCTCCGATTCTCGTGGCCTTGGGACGACGGTTGGCTTGCGTTGACAGAGAGACGGAGCACGCTCATCCCTCGTAAGTCTTGGCGGTTGGGTTCGCGACGCGCCGTGACTTGGGGCGAACAAGCCAGAACCAAGCGAATTGGTCCAAAGGGCCTCAGCGAAGGATTAGTTTCGGGCCGATTGCCTTTGACGCTGTCGGGTCTGGATGGAAGCGTGTCATGGCCGGGTTCGCAGGAGCTCCGAACAGTGAGAGAAGGCAGGAACTTATTGGCGACCAGCACCGACTCCACTACATACAGACGATCGTCATCGCACCCGGTCCAGCAACATGCCCCCGTGCTTTTCGTCGAAGCGTACGACATGGGACTGTACGCCCCGTTGGAGCACCAGGCCGCTAAGACGGTTCAGCGCCTGTGGCGAAAAGCGCTTGATGCGCTCCGAAGCGCCCGGGAGTGGTGGGAGTATTACGCGACGATGGACAGGCATAACGCCGGAACCTGCATACAGAAATACTACCGCGGGTTGAGAGCATGCCGGAGGGTCAGAGTCTACAAAGTGGAGGTCGCGTTGAGGGGTGCAGCTGCCGCTGCCATACAACGTCGCTGGAGGTATTCGGGAATACTCGATCCTGTAGTGCGTACTCTGAAGTAGGGCATTCTTGCCGAAGTGCTCGGGGTTGTACATTGCCCCGAAAACGCGTAGGGGCGTATTAGGCAAGAAGAGAAGAATCCACATATGACGCTTTAATAGGCTGCCCATTATTGTCATAACTAGCGTTGTTGCGAGAAGATAGCAAGGCCGTTCGATTGTTGTTGATATTTTGTGACAAAATGCATCAACCCTCAACGGATTGGTATCGCCTGTGTGCACGGTCAATGTCCAAGGTGCTCTCGTGCTCGGAGGAGAGCAGAAGAGCTGCGGACCGAAGGACTGCGCAAGCTGAAGGAGCTCGAGCTGCTGGAGAAAGAACGCGAAGCGAAGAAACTAGAGCTGCGGCGAGCGGGTCTCTCCGTGCTCATCGCGAGGGGTGCCGGCCTTCTAGGCGAGCCAAGTCATTCGATTTCGAATTCGGAGAGTAGATGTTGTATTTCAAGAGGACGGTCATCAGCCTGCGACAGCGAGGAAGCTTACCGTTTTGTTTTCAGTCCCGATTGAACTGCTTCCCGACTAAGAACTGATTGTTCTTCGTTGAAGCGCCAAGGAATTTTCTCGTTCTCGATAAAGAACCCACCACGTATGCGGCACTTGTCCAGGGAGGTGAGAACGTTCGAACACGACGTTTTTGTTGTTGTTGCGTGAACGAAAGTAATACTTGACTATCCGGATCGCGTATGCATAAATGCGATAACCCTGACCACCCCTCCCCTGCTCAGGTATGGATCTGTCGGGTCTAAGCGATCCGTTCTGCGTGGCCTTATGGAACGGCCAGGAGGTTGGGCGTACGGCGGTACGGCACGGCACGCGGGATCCTGATTGGGTTGCCGACGGCAGCAAGGGCGGGTTCACGAGCGTTAGATCAACGAGGGGCGGGGGGTGGTTCAATCTTCCTTTCCTTGTCCCAGAAACAGAGAAATGGGGGGAACAGGCCTGGCCGCCAATGTGCTTGGAGGTGAGCTCACAGTGCAAGGGTAGTACGGTGCGACAAGCTCACGACCCGTGACGCTCGCAGAGGTGAACCCGTCGCAACTACCCACGGACATACATGGTTTTTGAGGGAGACCGCGACACGCGATTATGATTTGTTCACGTGTACTCCAAAGGGCTAGCGTATCGCTGTAATACACATAGGTTCATCCGGCTGCTGAGAGCGCTCCTTACACGAATATCTTCGAGGAACTCGTTCACCTCGCACGAACCTCCGGACTAACGCCGAGTCCCTCATCCCGCACGTCCCTTCGAGAGCGCAGATCCGGTGCTACGACCACGACCTCCTGGGTCCCGCGGACTTGATTGGCTGTGTCAAGCTTGGCGCGGATGCTATCTTGGCGATGGCAAGCACAGCAAACGTCGACGATGACGCCAGCGCCGAGGTTACATGGTTGGAATTAGTGCCAGACACCAACACATCGACGACGGCGGCTTCCAGTGAATCTGGCATCACCAAACATCGGAATCCGTTCCGGTCCTTGGGCGACATCGCGGTCGCCGTGAACACGAAGCTGCCTCTTCCGGGCAGTCTTGAAGAGTACGAGCGGTCGAAAGAGCGGAGCGCCACCGAAATCACCAGAGGTGTCGCCGACGTCGGTGTTTTGGTGAGTCACGGCCGTGTACAGAAGCGTAGCCCACAAAATATTCGCTCGGTGGTGTTCTTTGCAGCGCCCTGCGTGAGGGAGAACATCCTCTTGTAACATTTGAGCTCGGTTACGTCAACAAGAGATAGAGCCCGCTGATACCTCAGGTATCAAATCGCACGATATCAGAAACCAAGCAAGGCCCTTCACGGCGCCACCTCAACCCATGGAACTGGGGAGCTATCGAGCACAGTCATTCCATCCGTTATAGCTCAATTTGTCTTGGCGGTTTTCGGCGGTCGTTCCTGCCGGGTGTCGTGCAAGGTGCTCCCCGTACGAAAAGCTAGCTCCCCAGACGGCGACATCAAACGAATTTTCCAGCCGTTGTACGAAGTTGGCGGAGGTCTTTGGATAAGAACAACCAATGCGATTGCTGCTCTCGACGGATATTGCGCTCGGTCATTTCAATGCCCAACAGCGCCTACAAACGCGCGAACCCAAAATGCCTACTTTCCCAGGCACTGCTGCAGTCTATGGACCGGGAGCTGTGCATGCGCGACCGAAAGCTATGGGTGGTGAATGCGTCCGGCCTGGTGAAAGCTGACTTTTTCGGGAAAAGCGATCCCTACGCCAAGGTATCCGGTGCTTGACGATAGCTCCCAAAGTAGTATCGTGTTCCACGGGGGTATCTCTCTGGAGCACACCAATGTAGAAATCCAAGAATATCCGGCACACGCTAAGCGCATGCCAACGAACGCCTTATTCCGCGATGCGTTGCGTCCAGCACACCGATCGAGATTGCCGTTCAAATGGCGGGTCTTTAGATCAAATTTCACACACTGTACCATCCGGGATTTCATGGAGCCCCTTTCCGATAGTTTTTACTACTCTTTGGGAAGGTGGGCTTGATGCACCGTTTGTTGTCACTTCCCCGCGCCGGGTCTGACACATTTTTTGTCCATTTCGCAGTTGCATAACGTGATAGTGCGCACCGTCACGTTTCCCTCTGCATTATTCATATCGTCATGTCTTGAGTTCGGATCTTCCACATTCGTAATGATGTAATGACTGTGCGGTAAGTTCCCAGACTCATGTAACCCCGAAAATAGTCCTGGAACTCGGATTCTACAGGTTTGGGTCGAGGTGGTGGTCCCCGCGTGCGCGTGGCATTAGAATTCGCCGGGCATGCCATAGATCCTTTTGCAGGAGCGCCCGATTTTAGCGATGTCATCCCGATGTACTGATTGCTCGCGGACCCGTGGCGTTTGAACCAACAGGTGTTCTGGGACGGTCGCGAGATCGGCGCAACCGCCGTCCGACATAAAACCCTCAACCCGGTTTGGTTCACGGAGCACGCCCCAATCAGACAGAGGAAAGCGACAGGCGGCGCAGCCGCTCAGGAGGAAGACAAGCCCTACTTTTGGCTGGAGGGCACTCGTAGCACCAACCCTCGTCTGCGCGTGGAGCTGTACGACTGGGATGCGGTAGGTTCGCATGACTTTCTGGGCGGAGTTGAGCTTGACATGGCCGAGCTGGTGGAACTTCAGAGACTGACGCTTGGAAAAGCCCGGGCGAACGGCGGCAACACGGATCAGCAGGTTAGCGGTTATTGTTGCTTCAGTACATCGATGTGCCTCATGCGCGAGACACCAATGAACCGGTTCAATAAAGCAAGTGTTTTTCTCGGCAACCCGCATGGCTGTCGGCAAACATCACGGTAATGATGTTTACGACACCGGTGTCGAAATTTGTTTTTACGACACCCCTCGAAATGCAATAAGACAACTAGAAAGAGAGCACTCAATCAACATATGTTGCCGGATATGCATCGCCCCTTATTGTTGTACACCGCCCCTGCTGCACGCCCCTGGCCACACCCTCCTTACACAGATGCTCCTCAAGACTGAGTATCCCTTACGGCCGTCGGGCGATCCCAAAGTGGGGGGAAACGGAACGCTGGGTCTGTGCCTCTACCTTGACCTGGAGCAGAAGAAGCGGAGGCAGAAAAGGGAGCAGGCCGCCGCTGCGCGAAGGCAGCAGGCAATCGATCTCGCGCTTGCCGAGGTAGGAGATTGTTGCGTAGCTGGCGGGTTACCCCGCGGACAGCCAGTGCTGAGCACGCAAACCTCTGCGGGTCCCAGACGTGGCCGACATCGGGGTATGGGGAGGGCGGTGTGTATCACCGAATGTTTGAGCTTGGAAATATTTCTCGGAAATCGTGCTCATTTTCTGTTGAGATCGGATTCAATACTCTTGTCTCCGTATCCTCCCCAAACACGACCGAGCGCTTTCTGGACAGGTTGATATGAAGAACGAAGTCTTGGAGCGAACACTAATGAGTGCCGAGGACGCCGATGCCCTCGACATGGAGCAACTGCAGCGACAGCGGAACGAAGAAGAGGCGTCGTCGTGGCAGATCTACTACGACGAATCTACGGAGCCGCCCTCTCCATGGTGGTTCAACTCCGTTACGGGAGAATCGACCTGGGATTGTCCAAACGTCCAAGTAGAAACCGACGCGGCGACTGATGGCAGCTCGCTGATTGTCAACGACGAAGGCGAGTAGGTCCTAGAAACAACGCGAGGAGAGAATTTCTCGCTCGATGCAGTTTCCATATATTGTTTGGCCTTCCTCCGCCCTCCCTTTTCCGGTAAGTTTCCGGTAAGATTCACCCGCTCATGTTGTCTCGAGATGGTGCATCCGATCTACGGTCATTGCAAGCGATCTATGGTATCGACGCAGGCTCATTATCCACTTGATCAGGTTGCCCTCTCGATCAAGCCTGTGGTCATTTCCGCTTGATCATTTTCTCTCCCGCTTTACCCATTCGATGTCACACTCGTTGCCCGCCAGACATTATATTTCTCTTGGGGCAAATAATCCGCCCTCTTTTTTTTCCATCCGCCCTTTGATTTATCCGTTGGACAAACTTCTGTGGGCTATAATCTCTCCCTTTCTAAACCCTCAACATTTCAGGCGAAGACGGAGGTCAGCCACAACGGCAACTCGCCGTGGCGGGGGGAAATGCGAGCGACTGGCAAATGTTTTACGACGAGGAGTCTGCCGACGAGCCGATACCGTGGTGGTACAACTCCGTCACCGGGGAGTCCACGTGGGACTGCCCTACGGCTTTGAAAGCTGCTGCCGCGAGCTCGACAACCGCCGCCGGAGTCAACGAAGACGAGCCGAAGGCGCAGCACATGGAGCTCGCTATCGTTGAAACGGTCGACATTTCGACATGGGCCCAGCTGTGGAGCGAAGAATATCAGGTACTTGCAACGCGCAGATTCATTGTACAGAGATATGGTGGCTGCTCCCCGTCCACGACTCATGTATACCACAACGATACTTGCCCTCGGGAGAAGGCATGGTTCTAACTAATGGCGTGGCTCTGGGTGTGAGTCTCTGCGGAACGTTATATTCTTGGTGTCCCTGGTGAATTTGTTTACCTCATGACATTTTTTTTGGGTGCTCGAACGCTATATAAGGACCTGGGGTGAACGTTTTACAATGCAATGGTGAACACCATGGGAGTTTTAGGACGGTCGCCCAGCTGGTCTACGGCATCGCAGTAGGAAACCTCGCAATATCTTCTAGCACCAAGACGCGGGTTCAAATCCCTCTCGGGAGTAACAATGTGCGAATCGAGGCGGAAAGAGATCTGTTTGTGATAATACCCAAGAAGAGGAGATGGACGGCTGAACCCTTCTCGCGTCAAGAACCGAAGGGAACCACCGTAGGAGGCGGTGGGACAAACCGAATATTTCTTGTTTTACATCCTCCTGTATGATTTTCCATCCTCCTGTTTGGCCTCGGCTGATCACGTCAAAGGCTTACCGAAAAGGTGAATGCTGGCCCTTGAACAGATTCGAAAGCACGCGAATCAACACACACATAGAAAAACCGTGTAATTAGGGTGTGAACGTTGCTACATGAACGCGGATCCTTGTCTGGCACGTGCATTCGCCAAGAAAATCATCGAAAGCAGCCGCTGGCTAGAAGCTTTGTTAATCTCGCCCCCCCGCCCCCACCAGCAGGTGTACTACTACTTCAACGAGGCCACCCAAGAGGCATCTTGGGACGCCCCGACAACAGAGAAAACAACGTCGACGACCGAGGAAAATTGCTCCGGCGCCCAAGGGGAAGAAGGGGGCGACGGCCGCGCGGGGGGTGTCAGTGCTAGCTATGAGAGTCACGGTTCCGACATCGGCAGCGGCCAAAATCAACCTCTGGTTGTGCCATCTCTCGGTAACAGCATGATGAGTGCCGGCGATAACCCCGAGTCTCAGTTTCCATTTTATGTCAACGAGCGAGGAAATAGGGTTTTCTGCGTACCGAGGAGAATATAGTCGTGTGGTGGTGTTATCTCTTTTCGCATGCCGAAATGTCTCTTCGCCAATTCTGGTGTTTCCCCGAAACCCGAACAGTATTAGCTGTGTGCAGAGCCGTATGCTTTGGTGCTCCTGAACCTAAATTGGGCCTGTTCTTGAGGGTTGGCATGTTGGCTGCACTGTGCTAATACGCTTTTGTTGTGATCCACGAAAAGTATCTTTGTGCTACGCAACGAAGAGTTTTCGTGTTAGTTACCATATGTTTGTGCGTTTGTTCATGGGCATTTTGATCCTCTTCCTTTTTGCATGGTTTGTTGATCCGATTGTGCCGTTTGATGCTGTGCTCCCAAGAATGGAAACGAATCCATTGCGCCCCCTCTGCCCAGCGAGGAGTTGGTTGTCGAGTCATTACCATGGTTTCCGGGAAGATCCACATGCCACTGAAGGCCGTTGCTGTTTGTCATTCATGCCGATACATTGGTGTACAAGTGCTGCAAACAGCCACGTCGAGGATGGTTTTTCTTCGCCCAGGCAGAGTTCTTACTCTCCTGTGCTTGGTCCCACCCCGTTTCCCTGTTAAGGGATAAGTATTAATTACCGAGGAGGTCCTAAACTTGGTCTAATCTTAAAGGATGCAAACCAAGAAAGCAGGACAAGCTGCAACAGAAAAAACAAACACAGCTAAAGTGAGTTGTGTCTCACATGTTGATAGACATCCCGTCGTGTAAGACTCGGTGGAACGGTCAGTCAAACGTACGCCATTTTCTGCACCCATCCAGACCCCTCTCTACGCCACGACGTACCGTACAATGTTGGGGGGAAGATGTATCAATAGCCGTTTCAAGTCGAGGCACCGTCATTCTGCACACATAGACGTACTTTCAGGTATTTCTACGTGCCGTACCAGCACCCCGCTAGCGAAAACGGGAGGGGTACGCCCACGACGTCATCTGTAGCCACGGGTGGTGAAGCACCAAGCTTTGTGAACTCGACACGCTCTTTCAGGGGTTCTATTTCTACAAATTCTATCCGCCGTGCGTATCCGTTTTCTCGGAATGAGTGAAAACCGAAAAACATTTCACTTCTAACCTGGCGGCTCCACCCCCGCTGCAGGTCAGGCTCCGCAAACCTCCAAACGAACTTGTTGCTCACAACCGCCACCATAAAACACGCCAAATGACACACGAAACGGCACAGGTCAAATCGCTCAGATATTGACTCTCCGCTGCTACCCCGTCGCAAAGCCTACCTATCGGGCGTGCATCTCCGCGAAGAACCTACGGAGAGAGACAAAGCACTGCCCGAAATTGGCGGGCTTCACCACCCTCTCGGCGATCCAGCCAGGCAGAAGGCGAACAACCTACAAGCAGCGAGGCCAAAGGGGGGGGGTATCGGCGCTCGTCACTCGTGAAAAAGAGGACCTCGAAAGATGGTGGTCATTCCTCAGAGTACTGGGCATCGCTAGTAACTCACATTGGAACAGCTCACTTCATTAGCCGTCGGGTGCTCACGGCGAGACAATTGTCAATGCTTTACATTGTCTCCATTCATAGGCATCTGACCTACATAGCAACAGCATAGGCTCTTCTCATCATTTTGGGAAATAGTCCGATCGGCCGAACCCACGGTCACGGGGTAGTACAGTCTTCCACTCTTTTCTCGGCACTGGATTTACAGCGTTCACTCACCCACGGAAATCGTCAAAACTCAAGTAAATAACACCCAAACACGATCAAGAGCAGCATACATCGATGCGGCCATGATTTGTGCAACAATGCGCACCTGGTCGTCCTTGTAACGTTCGTCCACAAGAAGAATACTGGCGTAGTCTCCCGCGTGTCGGATGGATCGCCCGATCGACTGGTTGACGGCCCTCATGCAGATGCTGCTGTAGTACTCGCGGCCTGCGCGCCCGCGGCTGTTGGTTTAGAAGAAGCACGAAAAAAGAAACGAGTGAGACCGTGTGAAGCGGTACCCGGTACCACGGGAGGTGCAACATGCAATGCTATGGGTTGGGACTAGCGGGTTTCTTCGGTCCAGGCGTGTACAGTGCCCCTTGTGCTACACGGTCGAGCAACTCTGAACAAGCACGCAGCCGAGAAACTCACACGAATGTGCTGGCCCGAGAGCAGCTCGCAGCCACCCGAGGGGTTCCACAGGTCTCGCCGTGCGTACTCAGCTCTCGAACTCACTGCTACAACAGGCAACTCGCGGCAAGAACAGGGGCTAAAACTATCTCGTATACATACGTACCTGCTGGGAGAGGCCTCGTCGAGGTAGGCCATCTTCTGCTTCAACTCCGCGTCCCGCTTGTCCGGGTAGGGCAGTCCAACCATCACCACGCACCTACCAGAGCGCGCCACCCAAGCCGCCAAACGATCCCAGCGAAGGTGGAGAAGGTTCCACGTGTGAGTGCAACAGCGTTCGTTCAAGGGGGGTAAGGGATGATATTGCTGGGGGGGAGGTGGCGAACGGCTACAGGGGGGCAGGTTGTCTGACTTCAACTTCGTCTCTTCTCCTTGAGCGGAAACGAAGGAATTGAGCCAAAGGTCGAAGGACGTTTCGATAGCCAAGCAACAACAAATAATACCCCAGCAACACCAGTACCTAGCGAGATCGTCCGAAAAGTTGATGCCCTCGCTCATCTTCGCCCCGACCACCGACAGCAGCAGCCCCCCCCCGCTGCTGCTTCCGCCGCCACCGCCGCCGCCACTAGTTGTCGGCTTCCATGCCCCCGCCCTGGCGGCAAGGGAGAATTCTCTGAGAACGGCGTCCACGTCCTTGGCTGACCGTGGCTCAGAAAATACAGACTTGAGCCTGCCAGGCGACATCCCGACAAATTTCAGCAAGGGAAAGCGTGTGTGTTGGGGGAGAATGTTGTGTGTGTGTGTGCTGCGGACAATGCACGCAGGGATCCTTTTGAACAGTGACGTCGCATCCATGCGAAGACAAGAAGGGGGCACGCCTTCGGGTGTTCACCGACCAGGCTCCCAAGGCGCCATTGGCGAAGAAGCTTCGTGAGGTGTTCGACAAAGCGTGTGACAGGGTTGGGGGAATACCAAGATTGACGTTGGATAGTGCATACCACCATCAGCCGATGCAGCAGCAAATCTGCGAGCGGCCGTGTAGACTCACTTGCTGAGCTGTCGGAGCGTGCCGGAAGCCTTCCATCTCTGTAAAACCTGTCCAACAACGACAAGAAGCGGGAGGCAGTCCGATATGAGTCCATCAACAAGTTGAGGGGAGGGTATGCGTGTGTGCGGCACGGCGTGGGCACCTGGAGCTTCTTCGAGACTCTTGCCAATTGGTATCTACTGCTTCGTTATCTGGGAGGAGCGCCTGGAGAAAGTTCCTCCCGCCGCAACTGCCACGCCCGAAAAACGCTACCCCGAAGTATCACGCGCCGAGGAGACACGATCAATCCTCCATCACACCGATACCATCATGATTCGTAGCAAGTGGCAACGACAGGAAACGATAATACCGCCACGTGCCAAAAGATGCTGCATGTCTCATTTTCACCAACCACTGCGTTGTTTGGCGCGCAAGGTGTAAAAAAAACAAAAAATGACCTGATCGAGATATCCGTAGGAGGCGAGGAAACACACCACCCCTCCAGGGACGAGTTTGCAAACGTTGGTCATCAGCCGACCGAGCTCGTCCAGCTGCTCGTCGGTGCCGCGGCGGTGGAAGGTGAAGTTGAAAGTCTTCCCCGAGGGACCCCTGCGATGTTGGGAATCGTGAGCGAACTCGTTACGACACACCCTTCGAGAGAGCTCCTACTAGCAAGAGAGCACCAACGGCACCAAAAACGTCAACTCCCCTTCCCCCTGTCATACTATTAATCACACCAAAGACGTTTGCTCCTGTCGTAACAATCCCACCAAATACATCAATCCCCCTGTCCCCCCTGTCATACTAATCCCACCAAAAAAGTCAATTCCCATTCCCCTTGTCATACTCGTCCGACCAAAAACGTCCATTCCCTTTCCCCCTGTAACACATTGGCGAACGGCGAAGGATTCACACGAGCTGGAGACACGTCCTCCCGACGAACCAATTCACGACCGCACGCATGCGGACCAAAAGGACTCTCGCTCTCAAAAAGAAAAATACAATTTGCCGCAGCTGGTCCTTGACGACAATCAGAGCGCGCTTCCACACATGTCGCGGTTGGTCAACCCGCTGCCGTTTCAAGATGTGCGGGGAAACAAACGTCCCACGCGCACAATCCGGTGCTTCCGCCGCCAATCGGTGGAAGTTTCCGTGACGGGTCAAGGTGGGGGCTACTTCACGGGCAGAGCGTTTCTACACCCGATCAGCGGCCTAGCAAGGTAGCACACACACCTCCATTTTTCCATTTTCTTGTCGTATGACATCTCTTCATAGATCAACCGATTGGCGCGGTCGATGCTAGTACTAACGACTCAAGGCACAATGGTCCGCCGGTTAGCGCGGTCGACGCCAAGCAACAAAGGCACACACGCGCATGTGCGCACGCACTTGGACACGCAGAGCGGGAGCAGGTTCTCCCTGGGAATCACGTGCCCGCAGCTGAAGACCTCGACTCTCGACGGCTCCACGGAGGAGAAGAGCTGCCGGACCAGGTCTCCCGTAGGCTGCATGGTGCCCCCGACTAGCACCAACGCTCTCGCCTTCCATTGCGAGAAGAACATCAACAACAACGTTGCCGATAAAATGACAGCAATCAGAGCGACAACGGGCTAGAAGCGGCGTGCGCGTGGCCGTGCGTTGGCCACACGTTCACAGCTATCGCGCTAGATAGCAGGTACAGGGTGGAGTTACCGCTGAATGCCGGAGAAAAGAAAAACATTCGCCTTTGCGTGTTGCTCACACGCGTTATACCACTTGCAGATGTGCTCAAACATATTTCTGCTAGTTACGTCGGGTGGATGCACAATGCAGGTTGAGGCCAGAACAACCCTTCATCTCAAGACAACCACAACAACAACAGCAGCAGCAGCAGCAACAGCAACCGCCACAGTATACCTTTTGGACGATCTCGTCGAAGTGTACGGCGGGGTTGAGCATCAGAAATTTCACGGAAGGTTCTTCTTCATCTTGCGTCGTCTTTTGTCCGGCGGTAGCCCCTCTGCCCCCGCCGCCTCCCACACTGCCACGACTGCTGCTACGCCCGTCCCCCTCCTTTCCTCCGAACGTGGCGAGAACGCGGCCGTCCCTTTGAGGGAACCAAACACGAAAGCAGAGCACAGAACGGGGCTACGGATGCTCTGTCTGGTGCGTGGAAGGTTTCATTCTGGCGTCATGGATTCTTGTGGTAATGGTATGAGTGGTTTGGGTCATTGTTGTGTATTTCGACAGATTTCGGATGTTAGACGACAGTTAGTCGGACGATGACACGTCTACATTCTGATGAGCCCTCTTGACAGTGGGAACAGCGAAAATTCAACCAATTTGCCGGGGCGGAGAAATTCTGCGAATGCCACAATAGGTTGTCACATCAAACCGTCTCCTCACACGTGCAATTCGATATGTAAAAAAAACAAACCTGGTATGCTCTCAAATCCCCTCTGCTGCGCCTTTCGGCTGTTTTTCTCCACCCAAGAACAAAGCACGTGCAATGTCACGGCAGCAACACACACGTATTACATATCAAGCCAACACTGCGAGGTGTTGGCGACGAAACAGCTAGCTGCCGTGTAATTGGACAACAAGAGTGTTGTTTATTGTGTGCCCTCGCCGCTCAAGTCAGAAATCGTTACCTGCTAGCGTTCGTGAGTGCGTCCAAGAAGGCCTCCACGGTCTGCAACGCCGAGATATGCTTGCTCACAAACACTCCCGCAGCAGCAGCAGCAGCATCTTCCCCAGCCCCCCCCCCCGCCGTTGCTGCTGCAGCCGTTGTTGCGGTAGTCGAGGTTGCAGCTGTTGTCGCTTTGGAGCACCCGCAACCGCTGTCGTCGGTGTTGCCGCCGTTTTGAGACAGCGAGGCGTTCTTTCGAAGGGTAACCTCGGGGGAAGACGCCGCCGAAAGATCCATGAAACCCATCACCTGAAAAAATACAGCATCAACAGCGGTGGGGGTCTCGGGGACTTCAGAGTTATTGTTGACAGCAAGACTGAACTTCTCCTCCCTGGCCCATCTGCGCACCACCCGGGATAGGGGACGATCACCCCATGGGATTCGAAACACATACGAGTATGCTTGAGTCTTCTGGCGTGATTCATCCCGCAGACACTAACGCCGTCGTTCACCGGTCAGCCGCCGCCAAGAGCGGTTGAGAAAACGAAAGAACAGAACGCAACCGTGCACTTCGGCCCACCAGCACCATCGAATTCAACCATCGGCGGGAATCCGATAAAACTCACACCCACACACAAACAAACAAAACGGCACTGAGACTGACGTCTTTTCATTGGTCAGCCGGGTAGCGCGGTCGACGCTACTAACAAAGACACACACACGCGCGCTCGCGCGCATATGAGAGCCAACCGGGGCTTGGTCGCGACGAAACCTCGAGGCCACTACACCGATTGACGCGCTGGTCACAACAGAAAATAAGTAGCACGGGAAAGGGACGACGGTCTGGATCTTCTTCTCTTCCTTCTCTCCTTCTCTTCTGAAGCGTATCTCGACGACCGCACGCACACCTTCCTTGAGATCTCGCTCCGCCGCATATAACGCTGCAGCTTGAATAGGTTCATGTTGTCCAGGCCCGCCCGGAACAAGAAGTCGTTGATCTCCAACATCTCCGATCGGACCCCCGCCTCCTCGGCCTCGCCGCAGGCAGCAGCAGCAGCCCTCGGGCCTTGCACCCCGGAATTTCCTTTAGAGGCTGCTGCCGCCGCTGTGGTCTTGGCGTTTTCGGCGCGAGCAGCCTGGAGCTTTTCCTTGCCCCTGGTGGGATGCATGGCGAGGACCCCGGCCGGGGGGGGGGAGGGAGCGTACTGCCATGTTTTGTATTCATTGTCCGTTAGAACATTGACCAAGCGGGGGTAAGATCGGCATATTTGTGTTGCTTCTCAATACCTTCGAGAAGCGGAGGAAGTGATTCTACTCCAAAGTCAAACGCCAACGAAAGGTCAGAACCGAACGGAAAACAAAACAAAACATACACGTCAAAAAACAAGAGGTATATACTTCAACAAACACTCGCTTCACTCACCCCCCTCCTCCGAAATCCCATACCAGAAGGTGACTATAAAAAAAACAAAAACGGAAGCACGTCCTCCTGGCTCACTTGGTGAGGAACTTGAGGACGGCCCGCAGGAGCCTGAGGATGTTGCCGACGTAAAACGCGTTCGAGCCCTTGAGCCGGGTACCGTACTTGGCCTCGTACTGGGACAGTTGGGAGTGCGCGCGCGCCACCTGCGCCGAGTTGCCCGTCCACCACGGGGTTGGGTAACTAATGAGGTGTTGGGTTGTTCTCCAACAAATATGGAATAAATGCCAAGGGTGGTTCACGTTCCCACACGTTTTAGATTTCATCGTCGGATGGGAGAGAGAGAGAGGCACAAACGCAGTCAGGCAGACAGACAGAGACAGACAGAAAGACAGACAGACAGACAGACAGACAGACAGACAGACAGACAGACAGACATAGGAGAATATTCCCCCCTCCCACCGTGACAGCGGTACGGCAACCGGTGAAAAGATTGGGAGAGGGAGGGGAGGAGGGATCGATCCGCTTCAATTGCGCCAATCGGGAACGAGGGCAATAGCGATCATGTTTAAGTGTAGCCTCCACGCCTGCAACCCGAAGCACTGAGGAGGGAGGGGGGAGAGAGGGAGTGTGCCCCTGGATTTTGGCCACCGTGTGCCAGCGGACACTAGCAAGGGTCGAGGGGGCTGCCGGAGTCTCAACGTGGCCTCAAAAGTGTGCACATCCGAACCACGTGTACGCTATGTACCACAATCGCTACAGGATGGCTAGTACCCTTTCGGACCCCCTGCGCAGCGTCACCTCCGGCAGCACACCCTTCTTCTCGCTGCGTGCCTGAACCGCCGTGTGTGTTGAACAACAATGACAACCTCACAAGGCATGCTTCATCGGCACACTTCTTCACTCTTACCTCCGATAGCACGACCTTCTTGCTGTGCACCGAGTTGATCGCTTCTACGATGTTGTGGGCCTCATCCACCACCACCACAGCCCCCTCCAGCCTCACGCCCATGGCGGCGCGAGCCTCTCGGGAGAGCAGCGCGGCGTAGGGCATCACCACCAGCTGCGTTTGGTGGACGGACGGAAGGATGGATGGATGGGTGGAATGAAGGATAGATGATAGACAGATGCATCGATGGATGTGTGGATGGGTGGATACATGAATGGGTGGATGGATTGAAGGATAGATGGGTGGATGTATGAATGGTGTGTGGATGGATGGGTTCGTGGATTGATACATGGGTTGAAGGTGGTGCGTGCATGGATTGAAGGGTACATGCGGACAAGAACCAAGGAAGGTCGCCAAACGGGCGGGACAAGCGACGCTGTGTGGAAGTGTGGAACAAACAGAGCCAGAGTCAGAAAGTACTAGTGGTCACGGGTGTTGGGCCCGCCGGTTGATGGGGCCCGATGGGCAGAGGCAGTCAGCAGCTGCAGTGAGCGCAAGAAACCCCAGCGAGAGAACCGAAGAAAAAGCGAGGGAGAGGTAGAAGAGAAACAGAGGCAGGCAGGCAGGAGAGAGAGAGAGAGAGAGAGAGAGAGAGAGAGAGAGAGAGAGAGAGAGAGATAGACAGATACTGCAGATAGAGAAAAACTTGGACAGCTTCGAGCGGAGACCTATTCTCACCAATGGCAGCCCTTTGACCACCCACACACCCCTTCAGCTACCACAGTCCACCTTTGACGACCGAAAACGGTACTATCAGCCGTCCCATGCATCCACGTACCACGCACAACGCCAATGAACGACGTGTTTCGCGAGCTCACCTGGGCCAGCGAGGCAGCCTTGCGGGCGCCGTAGTACGCGCACGTGCCCTCCTCCTTGCCCAGGGCCGCCAGCTCCTCGATGTCGCGCACGGACGCCAGCGCGCGGTAGGGGAACTCCCTCTGTCCGTCCGCGGCCAGCAGGGGACACCCGTCAGTCGTCCCCTCTTCGTCATCGTCGTCGTCGTCGTCGTCCTCCTACGAAGCAGAAGCAATTGCAGTACGTAGACGAGAGAAAGGTCGGCGTTTTGTTTCATTGTTTGGACATGAAAAGGGGTATTCTAACGGGTCAGGGGGGTTTAGTCATGTAAACGCATGCCGTAGTCGTTAGACCATTGACCTCCCATCCCTACAACGCCGGGAAGGAGCGATATGCCAGGTTTTAGCCGGCGCAGGTTACGTTTCACAAGGATGACCGCTGGTCATCACCCTTGCGTTTGCTGTGCCGAGGACGGGGAGGGGGTGCAAACAAGGCAACAAAGTTGTCACGTCGCCCAGAGAGAGTCAAGTCTTGCCCGAACAAGAAACGACATGTGTGTGCGTGAAAGAAGGAACGCATCCAACCCGGTCAAGCAAGGCTTCGCCGACAAAACAGAACAGGAGCCGCCGTTTTCTCTGGCTCGGAAGCAAAAGGAGTCGAAGAACAGATGAGGGGTTTCGGTAGGCCTGTCCCCACGCGCTTGCCCGTGGATGGTAGAGTAGGAAACGGCGAAAAAAATGGCATTCCCCGACCTGTTGCGGCTCCAGACTACGGTAGAAAAGTCGTCTTGGATACCCCCCCGGTCTCGGAAAACTCAAAACTCCATTGCGTAGATGTACGCACACGACATTCATCAAAACCAAGACTATCGAAAACACACGATATCCTCACGTATCAGGCCTGGTACAGCATACACGATCGAAACACTCGAAAATATATATATATACATATACCTCCTCCTCCTCGCCCTCGCTCTTCCGCGTGCCTAGTCCACCGGCGCCGTCCTTGTTCTCCCTTTCTTCCTTCGTCAAGGGCTCAGTCCTCTTCTTCTTTTTCTGCTTCTTGCTTTTCTTCGCCCCGCTCTTACCTCCTTTCCCCTCATCCCCCTTTTTCTTCTTCTTGCTGCTGCTCTTCTTGTTCTTCTGAAGCTCCAGGCAGGCGTCCCGCATTTTCCCATCGGTCTTGAGGGAGGACACCCGCTCGTTGCCGCAGAGGGTGCGCCGGCTGCCCAGGGACGCGCAACGCACCCCCTTCGCGAACGCGGTCTTTTTCACCTGCAAAATACCAACCACAGCAGGTGCTTCGTGTCGGTCCCCTCTGCGCCGTGAAGCAGCTACCACTCGTCGGCGTCGATTCGCACACCAACACGCAGCGCTGACTCAGAACATCCCGGTCCTTACGCGAATCGAATCGGCTTATCGCTTATCACCCCTTACAGTGCTTGTTTCGCGCGTGTCAACATCGAAACCATCGTGCACGTGGACAACAAAACGAACGAACGACAACTTATCCAGTGGCAAACCGCAGCACCTCTTTACCAATGAGGTAAGTGCGCAGAGCGTGCTCTGTTTTGCCGGGATGTGCCGTGATGACGTGCCTCCAGTGAAAAATGCGGGGTTAAATCACCACACCATAAAATATCACCAAATCTCTTGCCCCCAAGACTTGCGCGCTACCTCTACAGCTTGTCAACAGAAGTACACCATATCGCACATGGGGGAACTGTTGGGGCGAGAGGGTGATTCCTATCCCTGCTTCACGAGAAGCTGTGTAGGCTGCCCGTGCAACGGACCCGTTGCATCTCCCCTTCTCTCTCCACACATACTTCAGAGGTTTGCATAGAGGTGTTAGTTTTTCATGTATGTGCTTTCGCCTTTTCTGTGTCTAAGTACGTCTGGTCCACACTTTTTCATGTGGTTCGCGTTCGCTATGTGTCTATGTACGCCTGTTTCCGTACTTCATTCAATACTTTTTCATATGCTTCGCGTCCGCCACGTGTCTATGTACGTCTGGTTCCCTTGCTTACCTCGTTGACGAACTGGCTGGTTTGAGAGTGTGTCCGGGAGACGTACAGGATCTGCCGCCGCACAGCAAACGTGAAAAACGATCAACAGATCATGAAAGACCGAGGCAAACAATAGTATCGGAGGCGTAACAAAAACAAAAGCCAAACGCGCCAGTCGCACAATTTCGAAAAACCCAACGTGAATGACAAACCCCAAGATACGAGAGACGGCTGCGTGGCTTGACGGGATGCCGCCGCCGCCACCGACGATAACCATCACCATGACCACCAACATTCAAGCCGCATCAGGAACAGCGACAGCACCCCACACAGACCAGCGCACACCTCGTGCCTACGCTTTGGTTGGTCTTTTGCAACGAAGGGTGTGTGCGTGTGTGCTGCTCCTCCGGTGGGATAACCCTAGACTTGCGGACTGCGAAGGCCTGCAGCCAAACGAGAGGAACAGAACCGCTCGTTGAGTTTTCACTCACAACCCCACCGGGACCAACATCCCTCCCGATTAGCCCGGAAAAAACCAACCGCCCGATACGTCCATTAATCGCTCCAGCAACTGGGGTAGTGACTGCGTAAAAACCCCAACATCCATCCATCATGGTGGTTGCTGCTCTCTCTCTCTATATATATATCTGTCTCGAGACTGACACACCAGTCGTGGAAAAAAAACTAGGTCGCGCATATATTGGGGGGGATTCTCTGGCGCCCGCGAAGGCCGGGCGCTGCGTACCCTATTTGCGTAGGTTTGTTGTCACCCAGGGCGCTGAGGAAATACGCGTTGCAATGATTGGAAAACCCCAGCCTGGCTTGTTCTTGGAACGAATGTTCTTCGTGGGAAGGGCAAAAAATGCCTCCCGAGTGTGTCGATTTACACCATGTCCTCGATCTGGACGGGGAACTCCCTCTAGTCGGAGACTCCCAACAAGAGGGCGGTAGCTTTTTGGGCTTTCTTCCAGCTGATTTTTTCAGAATTAGAACGGTCGTCCACAGGTTAAGATGAGTTCTTCCTCAAGGGGTCGCTGCTGTGGCGGGCACGTGGACGTCACCGCCCCAAACGGACACTTCGAAATCCTGGTGGTGCTCCAAAAGAGATTGGGCTAACGGCCGACCTACGAGTAGAAAGAAGCACGCAAGACAGCCCTACTACCTTCCTCTTACGAACCGGCGCGCCAAATGACAACTCGGATCATGCCAAGATTTCGAAGGAGCCCTCTCGCCACCCTGCAACAAGATTACACCAAACGGGCACTCACCTACACGAACAACCGTTCGCAGATTTCCTAAAAATTGGTCACGGACACGCACACCTCGCACCTGCCGAAGCCCCAGGTCCTCCCACTCCTCCTCCTCTTCCCCCCCCCGCCCTCCTCCAGCCTCCTCCTCCTCATCCGAAGATTCACGGAACCCCCCTCCCCCACCCTTACCGCCATCACCGCCCTCCTTCCCGCTATCATACTCGGCGACCAAATATTCGTCGTCCACTCCCACCTCCGCCGAGCGTTTCCCGTCGCCGTCATCGGCAGCAGCACCTACCCCATCCCCACGGGTCTGGTTAATTGTCTTGAGCGAGTGTTTCGACGAGGAGGCGGAGGATTTCGGGCGGGGACGTTTCCTGCCAGCCCCTCCCCTGTCGCTGCCGCCAAGAGCGAAGGATGACGAGGACCAATGCCTCCCGCCGCCGCCGCCGCCGCCGCCGCCGCCACCGCCGCCACCGCTTGGGCGATGAACGCCACGCACCTTGTTGTTGTTCTTGCGGTGCTCGTCTTCTTTCCGAACGGCGGCAAGTCGTTTGTCTAGGTCCCGCCGCCGCTCTCGCACGCGCCTATTGTAGCGCATGTGGGCAGGCGGGCGAGGGGAGAACGGTAGCGACGTTGTCGCGGGGGTGGTCATAAGATGAGGGGGAAGGAGAGAGGGTGGTTCTCGCTTACATGGTTTGGGCCGTTCTATTACTGTGCGCTCTCGCGCGCGCACCCTTCATACGCAAGGGGATGAGCAGGTCTTCGTCAGCCAGGCAGGCAAGCTTCAAGATTACGTTGACGGAAATAAAAGTTTCAGATCAAGAAGAAATCGGGCGAAGTCCGAACCACCTACTTGGCTCTCGCTTCCTTCTCGTTGTCAGACTTTTGCCGCGTCATGTCCTTGAGCCAGCTGGGCATCGCGCTCGCCCCGTCGTCGTCATCGTCCTTCTCCCCCCCTCCACAGGAGGCGTTTTCTGTCCCGAACCCCCCTGTGCCCTTCGATGACGAGCCTGTCCAGTCAGCGAAGCACATATAAAACGGACACGGGAAGCACCTCGATATCGATGGCCGACGATGCCAGGTCGTCGCATATCACTACTTCCATCCGCTTTGTGATGCCCCCGCTGCTTCGCATCCACCTTGTTGATGCTCTGTACTTCGATACCAATCGGAGGTATGTCGGAGGGCGGAGACGGTAACCTCGGCCCTCTGAGTGAGTCTCATCCGTCAAAACTAAGAAGCCAGAAATAAGCGTCCTACATTGTGTCGTATACACGACGGCAGTAGCAGGAAACGCTGCGGGTAGAACGCATTTGCTGCGGCCACACCATGCAGAAGGCTGCACAAGATCCCCATGCACCTTTTCTTCAAAAGTTCGACTATTCCATGAACATAACATGTCGGATTCAAATCAAACGTTTTCGAAGAGCCCTCCACAAGACGGTTCCAACGCCGCCGTTATCGGCACCGTCACAGATTATCAGCGGAGTAAACAAGTCGGCTTTGAAAACCGGTTCAAAACGCGTGGTAGCCTATGCAACCTTCGGTAGGCTTACGGTGGGCCCGCCTTCACCCCCCCCCCCCCCACATGCTGCAGAGCTCCCAGCCAATTTATAGGGCAGCACAGGAGAGTGCGCACGGAATGCTTGTGGCCTAGGAGTAACCTCGTCAAAGGCGAAGCGGGCCAGCCTCCGCATGGGTTATGTGAAAACAAAAACCTCGGGCGCAAGAGGTAGAAGCGACTGCAGCAGTAGTCCGTGTTAGGTAGTTGTTGAGTGATTGCTGGACTGCTCCAATGGTCGCCAAGAGGTCTCTTTGAACGAACACTGATGCACGTCGGGAAACTTGTGTTTATTTTCGTTGCTCTGCTGCCTTCACATTGAGCTTCTGGCCTCCGCACTTCCAAACTGAGCGTAGGTGATACATCTCATGGTACGTCCCTCCCTCCGAGGGAAAGAAGAGAATGATACGGATAGACTTGCAAGAGAGTACTGTATGAATACGCAGAGAGGAGTCCACGAATACTGTACAGACAGGATGATAGATACAAGCAGAGATGCTGATGCGGTTCGGGTACACACCGCCTCCTCGGGCGGGGGAGCCTCCGCCGTCCGATTTCCCGTCCACGTCCTTGGCCTCGGCGTCCTTGAGCCACTGGAGGGCGCTGCAGATCACGCTCAGAGACTTGCCCTGCGACAGCAAAGACAACACCAGCGTGCACAAAGTACAGAGGTTCAGAGACTTGCCCTGCAGCAACAAACACAGCACCAGTGTGCACTGAGTACAGATGCTCAGAGAATGTGTGTTTGCCCTGCGACGAAGACAGCAACAGCCGCGTGGGCACCACCCACTTCCCGTAGGTTGCATGTAAGATATCACACCCCTTGGACCGATTTTCAAGGCTCGATATGACTCGGCAGGAAAAACAGCAGTCACGGTGCCAGAAATGACGGCGTTGGAACTGACTCTCATCGAGGGCTTTCCGAAAATGTATCATTTGATGTCGGCCTCCTCCTTGTCGTGGGTTTGACAAGTTTGAAATTTGGTCCAGGGGGTGTGGTATCTTATGCGACCTACGGCTTCGGGCGCCTTAGGGCCAGGGGGAACCAATTGCTGATACTACAGATCGGGACTACCTGTGACGGAATGAAGGCGCTGATTAGTCCACATCTAGAGGGCGTTGCTCTCGTTGCAACTACAGTACAGCAGCAGAGTGTGGCCCACGCTCACCGTTCCTGTAGGACTCTCGAAGATACCGATGCCTCCGTTCTCGAGGGTGGAGTAGATTTTGCGCATCAGCTGTTTCTGGACGTCGTAGGGCTCGAAAGGGAACGGGATATCAGGTTCTTCCCTAGGAGGCCCTTCATCACGGCCACGCATCTCGTTGTCACCACCACTGCTCATGTCCCTTCCCTAAGCTGGCACACGCTGCGCCAGCACCCTGGTTGTGCCGCACAGAACACGGCCAAATTTAAAAATCCAGCATACCCCGTGTATTTCGGGAACGGGCTCACGGAGCCCCTCAGTGTGTGTGAGAATGTGTCATCGCAGCATGCTTGCGTTCACCACACCTGTGACGCTGTGTCTGGCGGTCTTCTCCCTCCCAAAGACCAGTGTCTACCCACTGCTTCAGTGCCTTCTGTTGTTGTGAAGGTCAGATTTCCCAGCGGTTCTTCATTCCCGAGTACAAGACACGCGTAGATCTGCTGTGTAAATCACTCCGTGCTGTATTTTTACGATACATAGCAGTATGCTGCTGACCAAGGCTCATGTAACGGCCTTGGCAGCAACATGCTCATTGTGCAGCTTCAGCCAGGCGGGGGCCTTCGTGCAACACAGCCACGCAGGGACCTTCCGCGCTCACCCTTCACCCTCGGCCGGCGGTTTCAGCTCCCTGGGAGCGAGGGCGAGGGCTGGGCAGGGCATGATCTCCTCTACCGTTGAAGCATCATGTTCCTCGCGCTCACGGTGGTTCTCCCGCACAACACTGGGTCAACAGCAACAGCACCACCGCCACCAGCGGCGACGCTCAAGGCCCTCGCACGTTCGACTCGGAGCCCTTCCCGAGGGCCCTGGTGGTGAGAACACTACCGCTGACGAAGCGGTAGAATCGGGACGGACCGATACGGAGCGATCTGCTGGTGATGCCGGCAGCGGACGTACTCGGCGAGCGGCGGGATCAGTTGCAGGCGGCGGCGGCGCTGGGAAAGGCGCGGGGGCATTGGACGGGCAGTTTATAAGCAAGCTGGCCAAGAGGTTGGCAGACAGCTTTCCTCTACTGACCACAGAGGAGATCAAGAAGGAGGTCCGGGCGCTACTCAACCCGGAGACAAAGGGAGACACGCCCGCCAAGGTGTGGTTGGGGGGCAAGGAGCGCTATTTTAGCGACGGTCGACGGTGTGTGTGCATGCATCTACGTGCTCGGTTTAGAACAGCGAACGAGTTTGGATTTTGGTTGTTGCCCGTAAAGCAGCTTTTAGGGCTCTCCGTGTTGGTGAACGAAGCAACTCCGGCGGTACGCATGGCTTGGGCACAATGGATGCGCTCTGGGCAGAAACAGAACACTGCCTTGAGTACAATGTCGGGTCTCAAAAACAGGTGCCCGGTGTCCACAATGCGATCCCTTGAGCGGCTGCCTCGACTTGTTGTCGCCAGTTATATTCCCTTAGTCCTATGCTTGTGAGGCGATGCTGGTTGTAAAGGCTCGAATGCGACAAACTGACGGAAGTACGGAGGATACGTCTGAGTTGTTTTCACCGTTGGGCTTGCTCTGTAACCGTCTTTATCGTGAAGCGGCTACCAAGTATGCATACGACGACCCTCTGTCACGTTGTCGAGATCGAGCAAAGAAAAGGCATTGCCGCGCTTCAGACAAATTGACATCGATGGCCTGTACTTGCTCTTCGAAGTTGAGTGCACAACTCGCTTGTAGACTTCAGCACACCCTTTCGAACTGGGCATTTTCGGCAACGGGTTGTTGTCTTCCCGTGATTGTATATTGTCTACAGTAACGAAGTGTACAAGCTCTGCGCGCCACAAATTTACTTGCGTTTTGCTTTGGGGGGGTGCAGCAGGCGCCCGGCGCCCGCGAGGACACCCTCGCCGTCCTTGCCAAGGACGTGCGAGAGCTGGTGGAAGACCTCATGGACCAGGTCGGCGTTGGTTCCGGCGCGGACGACAAGGCGGGGCTGGTCGAGCTCAAGGACGTTGCTCAAAAATTCAAGGTGCGAGCATGAGTAGCGGAAGCAGAGCCACACGTAAGTTGGCGAGTGTCAAGGTGATAGGCAAAGGTATCCCAGTGGGCTGCTGCAACAAGTCGCCCGAGTTGTGCGAAACCAGTGAGCTAGGGTGACCAGTTCCAAGGTGTGTGTTAGGCAGAGAAGCATGGCTGCAAGACGTCGCCCGAGTTGTGCGAAGCTGGTGTACGTAAGGGTTACTTGGTCAACGATACCCTCAAAATGTAGAAATAACGCCTCGTGGGCTTGAAACACAGGGGGTGCTGAGGGGCGACCCCGCGGTGGTGCAAGAACTCCGCCGGCAAGTGCTGGACGATCTGGAGGAGGTCCGCGAAGAGATCGAAGAGCTCCTGGAGGTTAAGGTGGGTTGTTGCTCAGATTAGGTACATCCTTTCTGTCTCTTCTCTACGCAAGCAACCAATACCGCGGACTCTCTGTTTCTCCGCCAGTGCTGCAATAGACGCGGGATCACGCAGTAGGGGGCGTCCTCTCTCAACAGCAGCCGCAGGACGCTTGGCCTTTACGCCTAGTTAACCGTTGACTGCTTGTAGCACAGAGGAAGTATTGTGTGCGCTGCAACCTTTTGCTGAGGCTCTCTGCATCATTTTCCGCGGTGCACGCATCTCTCTCAAGTTCCTCCTCGCCGACAAGTGTTCGCCAACACTCCTCACCTTGCCAACAAGTAGACCAAGGTCGTTGCGTTTTCCTACTCTCTTCCACTGACATACCACATGTCGCTAACTAGTAGCGCCAACCCAGGCTAAATGTCGATCCGGAGACATCTTGGCCCAGGAATCGAGAGAGAGCAGCTGCGGCCCGAGGTACCTTTCAATTGAGTCGACGACGAGTCAGCAACAAACTATTCCGTGCAAAATACAACGTATAAATCCCATTGTGCTTTGAGGTGAACGAATGCTCCTACAACTTAGAACTGTTGATATTTGATTTCTAGAAAGTTTGTACCCTTGTTTTTGGTGGTGGGCCTGTGACCACGAAAGGCACCCGCGTCAGTTACAACAACAGAAAATTGCAACAACAACAACAGCACCAATAACAAACAACAACAACAACAACAACAACAACAACAACAACAACAACAACAACAACAACAACAACAGCATCTGCTCCCGAGGACTGGTGCGGGTGGTGGCTCAGCCCGTCTGAAACCGTCTCTTTTTTGTGTGTTCTCTTGCTGTCTTCAGGAGCTGTCGAAGGCAAGAGCCAAGCTGGAGAAGGCGACGGCGGAATCTACGGAGATGGTGCTCGACTCGGCGGCCGCCGCGCTGGCGAAGGGGATCGACAAGGTCGTCAACGAGGGGAAGGACGCCATTCCGGAGGGAGAGGAGACGGAGAAGTTCCAGGTGTCCACGTGAGCAAGCACGCGCCTTCTACAGAGTTGTTCCGCCACAAAGTGCATGCCCTAGCGTGGAGAATATTTCTCAACATCAAACATCAAAGGCAAAACAAGCACACGTGTAGTTTCGTAGCCTGACCGAAAAAGCCAAGGCAATTTTCACAATGGATGGAAGGGCAGGCAGCAACAACACGACTGCCCCACCTCCGGAATGCTCTGTACTCGCAAAAATGTGCGCGCGCGCGCGCCAAAAAAAAAAAAAAGTTACTTCTTCGGGAAGGAGAACGAGCTCTGGGACGACATGCGGGCCAACGGGGTTACCCGCGAGAGGTTCGTCCGCTATTCTCTTCTCGGAGGCGCCGTCGCGCTCGGAGGAAATCTCTTCGGGGTGACCTCGGCGCTGTTGGGCAGCGTGGCTCCCGAGGCTTCGAGGGACTTGCGGGTGGACCTGCTGTTTCCCATCGGAGGGTTCAAGAGGTGAGAACGTGCTTGAGATCCGGCTTAAGGCACGGTTCGCAGGATGAGGGTTAGTTGTAGCGATGGGAATGGTAGCTTCGTTTTTCACTGTCCGTGCCTCTGTGGTTGTCCGTTGGTATACCGTGGTATGCTTTTGAGGGCGGTTTGGGACGTGGGCTCGCGACTCGGTGCAGTCACACGAGCTGGGATTGTTTTCGGAGAGCATGCCCAATGCTCACTTTACGTGCGTAGCGATCTATTCGACTTCAAGGTCGACCAGGGAATATGGGATGGCTGAATCCTTCGCGCGGTAAGATGAAGGCACACACGCCGCGGAACGGAAGACGGCGAATAGAAATGCCAGACACACACAGGAAGCGACGAACACTTCGGCGTGACCTTCCATCCTGTATAGCCCTCTTGGCGGTTGTTCCCAAAAAGACACGAAAGGGCATAACACCTGACGTCCAGATAGATTGGATGTCACACAAACACATATCGGAGGGCTTTAAGAAGGTGGTGTACGTGTATGCCGTCCGTGATTGTTAGACATCGATCTTGGAGCTCGTTGTTCTCCGTTGGTTGAGTGTTTGTACGCAAGGTGTAAGGAGGGGTCCCCGGCTTTTGTTCGGGAGATGCGCCGTCGTGTACGATTTCATGTCTTGTTTTGTGTGGGGGGGGTGTACTCATAGTCGTGCATGCCGTAGTCGTTAGACCATTGACCTCGCATCCCTACAAAACCGGGACGGAGCACGCCGGGTTCTCACCGGACCAGGCTCTCACATCACCAAGCGCGAAGCGCCGTGAGGTATTCGGCGAGTCGCATGAAGGGTGAGCTGCATCCTGCTAAGGGTGTTCGGCATGTTGTGCTTACTTCCTTGCGTACGGATGACAGCTGCGTATGACTTAATTTATTTTCTGGTGCTATCACTTCCAGAGACAGTTATAAGCACTGTGTAGCTGCCTCGAGGATGCTTGACCATTTTAACACAACGTGGTGCGATCATCCCCCTTGCGCGGAGTGAGGGTTCTCGACCCCGCACAACATGATCTACTCGACCACCATTCATGGTTACCGCAAAAAAAAAACAGAGGTAAAAAACCCGGTAACCTGGTTGCCGAGTTCACGAAGTTTATTGGCTTGTTTTACAACGTCGTTGCCAAGCGACGAAAACCCAATCCCGATGGCAAACACCGAGGGGGAGTCTTGTTTTACAACGTCGTTGCCAAGCGACGACAACCCAACCCCGATGGCAAAACACCGGGGGGAGCGGCTTGTTTTACAACGTCGTTGCCAAGTGACGAAAACCCAACCCCGATGGCAAATGTTTTGTTGGGGGGACTCCCAAACCGACAACCACTTGCCCTCAAGAAATTCCGTGGCATACCTCGCGGGACGACCCGCGAGTTTTCCATGAACCATGTTTTCACGGGTCTTGCGGACACTCCGACTGGCACCCTCCTCCAACAGCCAGACACGACTCTTCACCCTTGGCCCCCGAAACCTTTCTCCTCCCGCCTACTGTGTGCCTGTTGTTTCACGTCCTTGCGCGGGTTGAAAACATTGCGTGTGTGTGTGTGTGTTTCTTATTGGCATCGACCGCGCTAACCGGCTGACAAATGAAAATGCGTCAGTTTACTGCGGTTGAAAACAAATGCTTCTGAAGGCCACCATCTGGAACCCTGTGAGCGAGCCTCATTGGGGAAGTCTACGCTACTCTCCGCATTGAAGACCAATACCTTAGCGACAACAGAAGAAAGCTGCACGTGTTAACCATGGCTGCTGCTACTTTGGAACACGTGTGTGCGTGTGTGTGAACAGGTTTTACTCTCCCGAGGACGGATACGAGTTCATGTACCCGGACACGTGGGTGGGCGACTCGGTGAGTTGGGAGCCGACTTTCGGTGGTTTGAGCGGGGAGATTCATCTTGGTGCGTACAATACTCCCTGGGAGATTGGGTGAGAGGGTGGCCAAATTTGGTGAGCAGTGACCCCGACTGTGTTGCCCTCCGTATATGGGCACTGACTGGCACGGGGTGTTTTTGTCATTTATTTAGGGACTTTTTGGGTGGTTGGGAGGATGGAGCGGACCCCGTGGAGATTGCGAGCTCGAGGTTTTGCTAAAGCCGTGAAGCCTCGGCGGCCGGCCTACACGCGCACGCAGGACATGCAACATGTTGGTACTATCTGCATGCTTTGCGGGGGGGATGTGTGACTCATGGAGGCGACTGTTGGAGACAGGCAGTCGACATACCACCTTCTTCTGAACATCAGCGATTTTGGGGGTGGGGGTGGGGGTGGGGGGCTCCTGTCTGTGTTCGCGGTATGCCGGCCGATCGCGCCTCCCCAATTCTGAGCTAGTTTCCTCGTCCCGCCTTCTTTTGCTCGTGTGTCTCCTCTCCCTCTCTCGGTCTCTCTGTTTCGGTCTCGGTCTCTGTCTCTCTCTGTCTGTCTCTGTCTCTGTCTTTCTGTATGTCTGTCTGTGTGTGTGTCTCTCTCTCTCTTTCTCCCTCTCTCTCTCTCTCCCTCTCTCTCTCTCTCCCTCTCTCTCTCTCCCTTCGCTTGGGTGCGTCAGGGCTTGGCGCTGCGGCGACAGCGCGACCTGGAGGACCTGCGGGCCTCCCCCGCCGCGGTCGCCAGAGCCCGCCAGAGGAGGTCGAGCTCGGCACCCGAGGTCGCCTTTGGCCCCCAAGGTGCTTGTGCGAAAGCCAGGCGGCTGCCGGGCGGGGGGAATCGTTAGTTGACGCTGCCTTGTCAGCCCGTCAAGGCGTCTATTTTTTTTCCCAAATGTTCTAATTTTAGTGCGGGGGAATCAGGGGGAACTAGCAGTCCTTGGCGCATCTTCTGTCGAGGGGGGAAGTTGCGTCAACCGGTATCGTTTGCAAGCGGGCTCTCAAAGAGGGGGATGGCACTCCGTGTATGCGGCTGCGTCTGTGTCGTGCGTGACTGGATTTGGCGAGCCGGTTTCTCCCCGGCGATGCGAAGTAGCCTCGCAGAGACAGACTGACAGCGGTTGGTTACTGGCTGGGTACAGTGCTACGATGCCTACGATGGGCACTAGCAGTCCTTTGGTTTGGCCGTTCACCGCCGGTCCCCAGGGCGGGTTACGAGAACTCGGAAGTGCGATTTGCTGCCTTGCGCACGACTCTCTCTCTCGCTCTCCCTACCGGTCTTCGTGCCTGGCGGTGCATCTGTGGTAAAGTCAGTCGTTCGACTCTCTAAGCGATGTCCAATCACGCGCTCGGTGGTTGTTTGTTGCCGCTCACCTCTGTCCTTGGTCGCTTTTCCTTGATTCTCTGCTTCTTCTTTTTCCCGAAACGTCTTGTCAGGAGGAGACGGCATTGAAAACGTCTCGGTGGTGAAAAGCGAGCTCATGCCCGGCTTTTCTCTCAAACGAACGCTCGGGGACCCCAAGGAAGCCGCCGAGAAAATTCTCTCGACCGTGATTGCTCCGCCTGGCTCGGGTGAGGTCGCGTGTCTCTTCTGCAGCATGCTGAGAGGGAAGGCACGGTCGCAATGACGCACTTCCTTACGATGATGGTAGTAGCCACCGCCGAACAAACGTTTCAGCTCCTTCCCCAACTCACCCCCCGCTCCCCGTTCCTTCACTTCGCCATGCCTCAAATTCAGGGAGAGAGTGGGAGCTGTTAGAAGCTTTCGAAGACAACAGGGAGCCGGGGGGGCTCGTGTATCAGTTCGAGTATCGCGTTCAGGTGATGGGGTGTGTGTGATCCGCTCCGGCCCGAAACGAAGGGGAGAAACTACTGCCGTACATGCCTTTCTTTTTTTTGTCGGTCGGTGCGAATTGCACCATGTAAGCTGTTCAGGGATTGCCACGGGAGGTGTCGCCCTGCGGTGAGTAGGAAAGAGAGGCGTTTTTCGAGAGAGAGTGTTCAGGGTTAGGACTCTAGGGAAGGTTGTGTTGGCCTGCTTCATCGTTGTTGGCATGCTTTGATAAGGCCTCACCCAAGTCAAGGCATGTCTGAATAAGCAGAGGCTAAGATCTGTCGGCAACAACGTGTCTTGGCCTGTGCCGCCTGCTGTAGCGAGCGTCATATCAGATCAGGTATCGTCGATGCTGCGTCGTTCTCTTCCTGCAATCTTGTTTCAATCCCTCGGGGCGAGTTGCTGCCTCTCAATCGTACGGATGAAGTATTTTGGGTAAGCGAAGACTTCCACCTATGCATGACACTAGGCCCCTCCCTCCCCGTCAACACACTCCCATCCTCCCCCGCTCGTCCCGCCGCTCTGTTGAAACTGGAAGGGGCAACGAATCCGAAAGCCGATGCGCAACGTCGGGGTGGTGGCCGCTAGAGGATCCACCCTCTTCACCGTCACCGTTCTCGCGCCGGAGGAGAGCTGGGGTGGGAAGGGCGGGCGGGGGGAGAAGTTCAGGCAGATGGCCAACAGCTTCCGGTTAGCGTTTTAAGGGTTCTGCACCGAGCTTGGAGAACGCGGTTTAGGTTGGGCCTGATTTTTCGCTTTTGGAACCGACGCTCTTGCTCCGCGAGGCAAACGTTGGAACTACACCAGTGTGTGCCAGCCTTAAAGTCCGAAAAACTGTCGGCGAGAGAGAGAGCGACGCTCTCGAAACAACGTTAGTTTTTCGATACAGCAATGCCTGTCTCTGGGAGCTTGCGTTAGTGTAGATGAGAGATGGAAGGAGTGAACTTAGGAGGCAGGTGCGTCTATGTAATGTAACACATCGTGATGTTTCGTGAATACACTAGACTTGTTTCGTGAGGCTTGCGTGGGTGGGATGGCCTCCCGACCAAGCATGAGGCAACGGGTAGAGAGAGGATCGGGCCTGGAGTCCGGTAACAATGTCCTCTTTGGGGAGGGGATCAGCAAGGCGTGTCCATATCTGTCGATGTAGTCTGCGCGCTGTTTCCAGCGATGAGAACCGAAGAGCTCCAGCGTTGTACAATGTAGTATGTACTACTCGGGACAACACAGCAGCCGCAGCAGTGATGTACAGGCGTACACATGCTCCACAGGATTTTCGGATTTTCGGCGCGGAGATGCGTCCCCGACTTCGACATTACACAAGAACGTTGGCCCCGCGCGAAAAAAAACAACTCTCATCGCGATTTTTTGCCGGACCCATGGACAGTGGCACTTCGTTTTAGATTCGCCAAAATAACGAATGGATGTGCCGTGCGCAATTATATTAGCGGTTGTCTCTTTGCTTACTGCTGTATCTACCGCCCACGTGATGTCGGGACGTTTGCCGTAAAAAAAAAAGACAGCGCGCAAAGGATGGGGACCGCCGACACGAGAGCCACCTGGTGGGAGTGCAAAGACCTCCTCGCACAGAGCAAGGCATTAAAACTTTTCTCGCTATAGTCATACTGCCGCCGCCGCTGCTGCTGCTGCTGGCCCCTCCTCCGCTGTTGTTGCTTGCTTTGATGCAATCTTTGATGGCCACAGCCGCCGCGGTCTTCAGGAAAGGTCTATTGATAGGAACGGAACGGTCTGTTCGCCGGACAAGGTCGTGGGTGATTCCACCGCTCTTTTCGGCGCGGATTTAGGAGAGATAGAGAGAGGAGGGAAGGAGCGGAGAGCGAGAGACAAAGAGAGACAACCAGAGGGCAACCGCAAATACGCAACCCCCGCCTCGGCGCCAACTAGGAAGAGAGAGCGAGGCGCCTAGGTACCCCGAGGCGGACGCAGGGCGCGCAGGGCAGCGCGCTGGTGATTTAGCCGAGAACTAAGGTATGCACGAACGGGCGGTGTTTTCTCCCTTTTAGTTTTACCAGCAGCAGAGGGTGGTGACAAGAAAATATTGGCAGCACACAGCAGCAGGCGGGCAGCACCATAGCAGCAATGATCATGGGAAGAGGGTGGGCTTCGATCCCAGGGGCCAAGTGACCGAGCTAGAGCGCGCGTGCACGCAAGCCTTGCTGGGGCGACTCTCCTTGTGTTTATTTTCCCCCGCCCCGACGCATGAAAAACACTTTCCACCAAAACCAAACCCCAAACGACCCACTTTCCCGGGCAACAACGGCAGATGACGCGGGTACATTTTTACCAGATGCCAACAATGCCCCCTGACGTGTGTACGCTCTTCCTGCCCTTGCTCCCATACGTGGCTGGGACGCCGTTGTCTTTCGCGCAGAAGGCCCTTGCCAGGTTTTGGTTTCTTGCTCGTGGACATACACGCATGGGCTTTGTGGTTTGGCGCCCTCACTTTCGTTCCCTCTCTCTCTCCCCTTACCCCGAAGAATTGTATGTATCTGAATCCTCCTGCTGCTGCTGCCTCGTCTCTTTCTGCACTCATTCCCCATGCCCTACTGCCGTTACACCCCACAGACACGAGAGCAGTGTCAGCACTGCTGCTTCATCTTAAAGCATGCCACGCGTGCAAGCTCTTTGCATTTTGTCCCCACCGACCCAGCGGTACAGCAGACCCGCAGCATCCTTCGCCGTATGCATAGGTCTAAACACACCTCTACAGCAGCAGAAGTACCCCGATCTACAGTTGCAAGTGATTTTGCTGAACCGAACGAACCCTTGAGCAATTGTAATCAACAACACGGAAGGAGCGGATGGGACGCTGTTTTTTTTTTCCGTTGCGCGTCCTCGGTGTCCTGTACACATGTCTTGCTTCTGTAGAATGTGTCCAACTGGTGCCCACCTACCCTCCTTTTCAACAAAAAATTGCAATAATGGTGATTCGCAAAGCACAACGACCGCAGCGCGCTGCTGTTGGAACCACACGGCCGTGTCGTAAATATTGCAAGTTTAATTTGTAGACCAGGTCTAAACCCTGGAATGTCTTTTTCGGCTGATGTTGTTGCTGCTGCTGCTGCTGCTGCTGCTGCTGCTGCTGCTGCTGCTGCTGCTGCTGCTGCTGCTGTGTAAAATTGATGTGCTGCTGTATGCCACGCTTGAGCGCAAAGACATGTAGCAATACTGTTCGGAGGCGACCGACCCGTGGAAGACATCATTGCCGTAGAAGTTCTGTTCTTTTCACGGGGTGGTTATACACCCGGCCCACGCGTGCCCTCAAAGATGCGCACATCACCCCCACATCCTCCAGCACTCCTTGCAGTATTATAGCACTCTTCAGTACTCAACGTACCAGCCTCTGTTTGAAGTCGAAGCTGCTGGGGGTGAGAAAGTCGTGGTATCCAGGTCGGAACATGGCGCACCCAACTTTTTCTCCTTCCACGTCTACGTATGCATACCCATGGGCACGTACGTGTTCGTCCAGTGCACGCCAGCCAATGATATGTGTATTGCAAGCATATGTACAGCTGTACTGTAGCACCTTTGTATCCACGGATGGTGCGCTGAACTCAGATCAACCGGTGGTGTTTGTTGGGGTTGCAGCGTTCTCAGGTTTGAGACGTCAAGCAGAGGGTATCTAACACCCCCTTTTTTCACAACCACGTATGAAAGTGAAGTAGGAATGGCGACGCGGTCTTTCTTTTCTGTTTGTCGGAAAACCAACACGAACTCTCGTGAGAGCTGGCGTGTACGCAGATGTGTTTTCTTTTTTCTTTTTGGTTCGTTGGAGGTTCGCTAAGTGGGCTCTTCGGTTCGAAGTTCGAAGCCATGCCAGCTGTGTGAGCTCTTGAGCCTGAGGAACGTTACCACCAGCCAGCTGTGGGCTGGTCTGCTCCCTGTCGCTAGTACAGTATTATTTTCATCTTGCACCGTCCGTCACCCCTTGAGGACACCGCGTGGTGTCATGAGCCCACTCCCGGAGGGATCCCGTCCGTACTTGTAGAGTCTAGCACGCAGGCGGCTAAAGGTGTGACGTTTCGGATTCTTGAGCCCCGACTACTGGTCTACTGGTTTGTAGCCAATCCTCTGACCCATCAACTTCGTAAGTGGCGTCGCGTCCCCGTATGCGTGCGCCAGTTTTTTATTAATTTGTATCGCCCTGTGTAACTTTCGAACATCATTTTCGATGGGGGCCAACGTACCACAAGATGTGCGTAGTTCCGCGGGGACGGGATCAATATGGGCCAGGTGACCTTGCCACGTTAATTTTTTCTTCGATGAACCCCGAAAACCCGGTGGTGCCTTTTTCTCATGTGGTGACGCTGTTTTTTTGTTGTTGGTTACGAGGGCGAGAGGAAAGGCTTGCATACCCCGCTGTGCATTATTGATTTTAGGCCGCGGGGTGCAACACATGAGTACAACACACACAACTCTTTTTCTTGACGAAGGTGGTAGCTCGACATGTTCTACCGGGAAACTAGCAACGTTTTCTGTTCATTGAACGCCTAGCGCCACTGACGGGATCCAAAATACGTGCTCTGGAGCCCGTGCAACGCGAACCGTTTTGGACAGGCCGGTACAAAAGTCGCATTTAATCAAAGAAAAAACTCGAAACGAGACGGGTTGGAAGTTGATGGGTCAGGTCGAGCGAGAGAGCCTTTGGCGTTGTTCGCGTCGCAGCATATACGCTTAGCATTTCTTTGTTCTCCCTCTCTCTCCCTCTGTCCGTCTCTCACCACCCCCTCGCCCCTCGCTTGTGGTGATGTTACTTGTCGTCGTTGTCTGTTTAGGCGAACGTTATCATGGCGGGGGTCTACACCGGCCAGTGGATCCCCTTTTCGGACCAGATGGGGCGACACGGCTGGTGAGTCTAATGCTGCTACCGCTGTTGCTGTTGAGGTTGTTACTGTTCTTGTTGTTGCTGCCGTTGTTGATGGCGGTGGTGACCTTCTGCTGCTGCTGCTGCTGCTGCTGCTGCTGCTGCTGCTGCTGCTGCTGCTGTGGTCGTTATTATAGCTGCCGTTGCTGATGGCTGTGGTGATGTGATGGTTGCTGCTGCTGCTGCTGCTGCTGCTCTTGGGGTTGTTATTGTAGCTGCCGTTGTTGGATGACGGTGGTGATATGGTGGTTGGTGGTGATGGTGGTGGTGGTACTGCTTGTGCTATGGTGGTTGATCTTGCCGTTATTTGTAGCCAATGCTGTTGATTTTGCCGTTGTTGTCTCCCTTCTTGTGCCTAGAGCAGACTCTCGTTTGTAAAACTGATCGGGTTGGCTTCTCCAAATGTCGTATCTTTAGCGGTCATGCGGGCGGCAAGATGATCGATTTGGTCACGCGCCAACTTTTCCAGAAAAAGGTGCACACAACGTGTGCGTTGAATACGTTGCGCTCATCCTACGAAGCCGTCACGTCTACTTCTAGCACCACCTCCTGATCATTTTCTCTTACCAAGCTTTCCTGTTGGGGTTGTGACGAACTTGGCAACTTCTACTCAGTTGCTGACAGTGAATGTATGATGTGCAGTACCGTTGGTGCAATACAACCACCGACCACGAGCACCAGAATGGCATCACTCCACCTGATGCGTCTGCTAGCATGGATCAGTCAGTTCCACGTGTCGCTGGATACTAAAGTCGCGTGACACGACCGCGATGCCCAACATGGCCCCTTGTCAGAGTGGAAGCACGTGTGATGTTGTGACAAAGGTCAAGACACAAGCTCTACACTAAGCTTAGCTGACTAGGGCAACCTCGATACCCATTGGGCGGGCTCGCCGCAGGGACCTATTCGAGGAACGATCCAGAAACCCTCCGGCGCACAACAGTCGTGGCCCGTTGTCCAGATACCGGGGACGGAACGACTAGCCCCTTCGCGATGTCAGAGGCACCCAACGGCAACTTTGTCGAGGAACCCTTGGTCCTGTTCATCTCCGGAGCATTCGTTTCTCTTTTGGTGGAATCACGGCAGCTGTGCCCGTAACTACGACCGATTTCGGGGATCCGTGATTGCTTGCAGGTCACGTTTGGAGGAGTAGCAGTGACTGGTATGATTTTGCATAACAATTATGGTCTTGCTTACTTTTTTTTGCCACCGCACAAGCTTGTAATTGTCTGTACTGCCAGGAAGCGTGTGGTGTGTGTGTGCTGATTGGCGGAAGCGCCCCTGTTTGGTCTACTCGCCGTTCTGGGCCAATCTTGTCAGGTACAACCCGAGCACGGGGCAAACGACCTACCAGATGTACGGCGCCTATAACGCCGCCAACCCCATGATGGCCCCGCAGGCGCAGGTGCCTGTGCAGCCGCAAGTGTACCAGCAGCCGCCGATGCAGGTGCGTGTGTGCGTGTATTTCTCGTTAGCATCGACCCCGCTAACCGGCTGACCTTTGTGTTTGGAATCCTGCTTGGAAGTGGTAGTAGGTAATCGCCCTTGTCCGTCTCACGAGTTTTTGGGGCAGTAGACAGCGGAACGCGTCCGACGCAGCAGTTCCGGCTACAATCGAATGACGCTGACAGGTATGAGGGTCGGGGAGAAATTGCGTCTCTTATTTGTTTTACTTTCATGCCTAGGACGTGCTCCCTCGATGTATGTGTTTTGTTTTCGTCCTGTTTATTATGGCGACATTCCCCCCCCCCATTTTTCGTGGTGAGACGTGTACTACACTTTTCAGTGTATTTTTTCGTACAACTACAACCATACAGGGTCAAACAGGAGGAGGTAAACACCGGGGCTATTATATATATATATATTTTTTTTTTCGTGCCCCACCTCCCTCCTGCGGTGCGTGCTGAATTTATTTTTATCGCGAGAAGGGTCCAGCCGTCCCTTTCCCTCGTCGATGGTGCTAGCGCCGAAGTTTTGGTACTCACGAGAGCATTTTCGGCTTCTTGTTTTCGCTTTCACCCGCAAATTCGCAGTTTTTCATCCCATGGGGGTTCGAACTCACGATCTCTGCGACTAAATAGCGGTTTCGAGGTTACCACGAGACCACCGGGGCGACTGGCTATGTATGCATAGGAAAAATATTACTGACAACGAGTATACCGCATGCCACCAAATGCTCCCTGTGTTTCTCTCAGGTGCCGATGGGCTACATGACCCAGCCGCAGATAACCGCGCCAATGGGACAGATCCCGCAGATGGTTCCGCAGATTCCCCAGGTTCCCCAGATAATGCCGCAGCTGCCACAGCAGCAGCAGCAGCCGCGGCAGCCGCAGCAGCAGCAGTTTGCGGCTCCGCCGGGTTGGCAGCCGATGTTCGACCGCTCCGGGCGGCGATACTTTTATAACCCGTCTACGGGCCAGAGCGTCTACCCGCTCTAAGAGGCAGAAGAACCAGTTAGCTGCGAGACGCACGGGTTCTAGATCAGAACCAATTTTTAAAGACGGGATCTATTCCAAGAACGAAAGAGGAGGAAGCAACGCTCACGCGCCAGAGCATCTTACCCGCCGTAAAATGGAAGCATAGAGGCGGCGGCGGCTGCGGCGGCGGCGGGGGCTGGATTGGCGTTGTGTGGTGTTTGGCGACGGCGAGGGCCGTGCTGGCTGTGGGGGTCGGAGCAGTAACTGCGCCGACCGCGGCATGCGTGATGGGTGACGAATCCGAGGACTTCGCGGATATGGAGAGGCCGGAGACGGAGGGCGGAATGAAGGTCGCGGTCGACAAGGGGATGAGGGCGGTGACCGCAATAGATGCGGTGGAACCGATTGATGGCGGCGTCGGGCGTCTGCAACGACGACGACGGCGGCCTGGACAGCACAAGCGCTAGGGGGCAAGGGAACGTCGACCGCAGGAGGGGGGAGGGGGCGGGAGTAGCGTGGTTGCGGCAGATGGGGCGATAGGGCTAAAACGGTATTGGTGACTTTCTTAACAACAACAAACGAGGGCGGCAGCAAAAGGATTTAGCTCTTTGGTTTGTCTTGAAAAAACGAAGAAACTATGCCGACTGTTGTTTTTTCTTTCTTTGATTTTCTTTTTGCTGCCGCTAGTGGGGCCTTAGCGTGCAGCATGAGAATCGGCGGCGAGGTTGCTGGGTGGTTCTGTCGGGATGGCCGTCTTCCGCCAGGAAAAAGTGAAAACAAGAAATGTAGTGGGTGAGGTTTGTGTGCCGATGTTACGTGGTGGTGTGAGTTTGTGTTGGGTGTTTTTTAAGGTGCCCTGGGTCTTTTATTAACCGTTTTATTCTTTGGGGTGTGCGGTAGGAGTGGGTGTGCAGAAAGGGTGGGAAGGCGCTCGCTTTCCCTTTAAGTTTGTTTCGAGGAACGAATCAACTCCCTAGGTGGCAGGTGGGCGAGCAGGCAACACCTGACGCCAGGGGCGGGATCATGCACACGGGTTAGTAGTCGCGACGCGTCTACGAAGAAACGTGATTGTTTATTCCTAGGCATTGTGACTATGGGAAAGACAATGAAAAGCGCGAAAACAAGGGGTAAGATCAGAGCTGAGAATCCTTATTCCGGTCGGCGTGCGGCGCCCTTGTCGTCTTTGGCTAGAGAACAGAAAGGCGCTGGAGGAGCACGGGGGCTGGAGGCTAGGGAAACTACACCCCGGCCATTCACTGCGGTGATTGCACTCGATCGTGATTTTTGTACGAACGGAAGGAACAACGAGCCACACGATCGTAGATAAAGCGATCGGCGTACTGCGAGTGGCGAGTAATTTCCCCCAAGGGAAGGAAGCGGTTTTGGTGAAAGCTGGTTCACTGGTTCGTTGCTTTTCTCGAGACGGCCTAGCTGGATTAATATTCCTTGATTTGTTTTTTATTTACGTTTGCAGTGCGGTGCCCACTAATGGCAAAGTGTGATATGGTCGCTCGACTTCATGTGCATGGTTATCTCCTTTCTTGGGCTCGCCTCAGTCTTCGGTGGATCGGCCGTGGTCGCGGCAAGGACGAGGACACTCGCGTTCAGGGCATCTTCGTTTTCGACCCTAAACAGGCCAACAAGAACGACTTTGCAATGGTGATGGTATCGTTGGCCGCAAGAGCCACCGCGTTTGCTCACACCTTGTTTTCGTGTATCGTGGGCACTCTGTCCTGGCTTGAAAACAGCCAACGTCTCGATCCTTGGCGATCTTAGTAGATGGTAACTCTTCGCTAATTGTTTTGAGTGGAGCCTTCTGTCTCATGTGGTGTCGACAAGTTACTACGCTTTCGCTTACAGGGATTCGTAGTTCACACCCGTATCCGACGCACGTCGCACATGTTGGCAGTTGTCGCCGTAAAATATAGAAAAGCCACCCTCAACGGGGTATTTTCTCTCTCTCTCTCTCTACTGATACCGGTGCATCAAAATGTTTTCCCATCACTACGCACTACGCAGACCAAAATGAAAGCAAATCGGGGTCATTCCCCAATTGCAAACTGGGGATTCCATCCCGCGTAAAAAATCGCGTATATTCTTGTGCCTGTTTCTCTTCTCTGCGGAATCGAGATTGGCTAGTCGGCTAGCCTCGAATGGTTCCCCCCGTCTACATGCGGCTGGCTGAGGTCTACACAAGGATACGCAAATGTCCACACTGACCCTTACAACGAAATTGGTCGCAACAACAGCTGAGAATTCAACTTAGCCCTCCCTGTATGCCATCGCGGCTGCCTTGTATTGCCTACAGCGTGGGCCAGCCACCGCTGTTGCACTACCAGGCGTCTCCGGAAGAAATTCACGAAGACATCGGCGGTTAAATCAATTTGTCTGAGCGAAGCACATCATTCCCGACTCTAGCCATCCGTCCACGCGGTGGACGAAGACAAAGAGCGCAACCTCCACCCCGCGCTCCAGTGCATGGACACCAGCTTGCACGCAGGTACTGCAGGGCGTTGAAGATTTGGACGTTCGCCCGTCGCCACGACCGAGAATCCCTGGGAGAAAACCAGCTTATACAATCCATTAAAACAGGCCCGTTCAAGTCTTGACCGAGTACCTGGATGAAGCGGGCCCGAAACGATGACGAACCCAAGAAGCATGCAACGCGATAAATTACATCACATCATGCCCGCTTGTCGAATACAACAACAGAACTCACGACGAGTTCTGTGGTTGGAAAACACATCGTAGATAAAACGCTGCGAAGGTATATAATACTACTTCAGACCGAACCCACCGGACGATTGGCAGCCTTAAGGATGAAAAATATTTGCCCGGCCAGGGAAGGTGTAAATTATACGGCAATACAGAACACCGCAGAGTGGACCGTGACACATCTACGCGTTGGAAAACCCGTCCGGTCATACCTCAGGCGGCCCACGTCAACATGGGCATCCCTGTGATCTGGTGTAAGCATACCTGAACAGGGTCGCCAAGAGAGCGCCATTCCTGTGCGCTCTGGTTTCGCGCCTCGCGATACGGACTCCCAGCCGCGACGCCCCTCCCTTGGCGTCTTTGTTGCCATCAGTCCCCAGTGGGATGGCGTACGCAGGGCTGGTAGTGCCCCAGAGCCAGGATACCGCACGAACGGCTTCCACTCGCATCAGCAAGCGCCGGGATTCCTCCAGACGATTCGTTTCCTCTGATGTCGCGCGTCTGCCGTCGTGTACCTCATAACGGAGGTTGTTGTCCGCGAGCCCCAGGAGCGTCTCGTTCTTCATCTTTCCATGGAACGAGTACGACACGGGTCTGGTCAACTTCTCGTTTGCCCCGGCGTCAAGCAGCAGCCGCACGATCCTCGGCGCCGCGGCGGAGACGGCAACGAACAGGGGTGTGCAATGACATTCGTTACGGCTGTCGATATATCTATCTCCAGGAGTGGCCCACTTTTGCTGCAGGAGAAGCTTGACTGCTCGCTCTCGGCCAAGGGTGGCGGCCGTGAACAACGACATGCCCGTGTCCACGACTCCCGCGGCCAGCAACAGCCTCATGGTATCGACGTGCTGATGCTTCGTGGCCAAATTGAGAGCAATTGCCCCGCCCGTTACCCCCGCACACGTCTTGATCCCGCGGTACTGGATCAGCTCACGGACCACCTCTGAGTGTCCCTTTTGCGCCGCCACATCCAAAGCAACGCGGGTCGACCCATCCGGCTGGAACCTAGGGATGGCAGGCCTTACGCCGAAGCGGAGGAGCCTCCTGACGATGTCGAGGTGGCCATGGAACGCCGCATCGTACAGCGGGGTGCTTCCGTTGTATGTTTGAGTGTCGGGGTTCGCACCAGCATTCACCAGCATCGACATGATCTCCGCGTGCCCCTCATCAGCGGCTTGGTGAAGGCTAGTGATACCTTCATCGGTAGAGGCGTTCACGTCCGAACCAGCGTCGATGAGCAACTTGGTCACGACAACGTGTCCGTTCTGGGCGGACAGCATGAGGGGAGTGCACCCGTTCTCCGATGCCACAGTTACGCTAGCGTTGTGCCTCAATAGGATCCTGGCAACCCGGTGGTGACCCTCTTGAGCTGCAACGTCAAGCGGGGTGAACCCATCTTCCGTGCGTTCGTTGATGTCCAACGCCGCCGTCGCAAGTAGGGCTTCTGTGACCTTGGCAGAGCCTTTCAACGCAGCATCGTGCAGATGGTTGTACGGCATTGCTGGGTCACCTTTGGTGCTGCTGATACCTTGAGTAGCAGCAGTCTACGATACGTGTTCTTGTTCCTAGATCAGACAGGCTGGCCCCCGCTTCGTCGCGAGCCGCGGCCTGGCAGTGGTAAGGGGTTTGCCTGCCACCTGAGAAGTGTTCCAAAACTGAGGGAAAAAACAAAAAGGGAAGTCGGATTGGTGGAGTCAGCTGAGGCGAAACATTTACCTACCGTGGCACCAGCAACCCTCAGATGCACAGGGCACGAAGAGGGGTGCGGCTTCCAGACGGCCCCGTGTCCCTGGACATATGCGGCGAAACTACGTTGTGACCTCGACCAGTGAGAAAGGACGCCAGCAATGATTCTATGCACCCGTACACATCGAAACTCGAAAACAGCCCGCCGGAAAGCATAACAGGGATTTCGCCAACGATTGCCATCGCCGACAGCGTTGAAGAAAACCAAAAACACTGGACAGCCGTCCCTTCTCAAGGGTCATCTTGGGGGCATGCAGTACACAGCAGGAGTCAAACGCTTATCAAGCTCTGCGATGCCCCACTCAACCAGCTGAAAGAGCGCATCAAAAGAATCCTGTGCAAGGCTCTCTACTGACGCGCAACCTGGGCAATCGAAGAGCGGCCTGGCCATCAACCGTGTGACAGTAAGAGGCTAGAATATCTGATCTGCACTAGGGTGGTCATGGTCGGTCTACACTATTCGATCCACGCCAAACGCAAGCAGCATCCAAAACCGCCCATATGTTTTATCTCCGCCAAATACATCAACAGTAGATACGTCTATGCATACTTCGGAACGTATCTGCAAAATACAGGAGGTTTGGTCACTTGACCGAACTCGTGCCACTTTCCCCAATTGCATCCTTCTGGTAGAGTGACCCAAATCGGCCAGAACTTCGGTGACACAGCTTGGTATCTATAAGCACCAACATACGGTGGCTATGATATGGTGTGCATGTAGAATTTTTGAAGTCGTTCGTTCTGACCTGTCTTAATACCTTTTGATACGATTTCTAGACGCACCGGCCGGGGTCACACAGGGGGAAGGACGGCAACAGGAGATTACTTGTATCTGTGTTCCTTCTGCGGTGCTTGCCTTGATTTTGATTTCGCGCGAAAGATTAAGCTTCAGCCGTGCCGTTCCCTCTTCAACCGTGAAACCGAATAACGACTTTGTATTATAGAGGTATTAAGGAAAAATAATTACACACACAGAAAAGACTACCCATTCGAGTTATACTACATCTGATTTCTTGCGGGCTCTTGAAACTTGAATCATGTGCGCGTTTTTTTATTGTTATTTTTCTTAATATGACATAACGAATTCATCTCTATCATAGAAGAGAGTCTGAGACAGATTAGCAATGAATTCATAGCGTCAGAAAGTACCTGTATGTCTACGGTTTCCCAGACAGCATATAGGTACATCTCCCCTGCGGGTAACAGGCTCAACAAGACAGTTTGGTAGCTGTCTTGTGTGTCTCATATATGTCATGTTTTTGTGACAGAGCGAGCGACATAGGGGTCTCCGTTCCCTGAACTATCATGTCAAATGAAAAATGACATTTCGCGATTTACCCATAAGGAGCAACGCGAATTTGTACGTGTGCCCGGCAGCCGGAGCGAAGATAACCAGGGAAAGGGAATGCCAAGAGCCCAAGACGTACTGATTTGGGTTCCGCCGCATTCCTAGGCCATTCAAGTGGAAAAAAAAAAGGGTGAGCAGAGAGCCAGAACGATAGCTCCCCCAGATGATCGCCCCTGTTGGTTTCTAATGAACGCACACAACCTCTCATACACGTGATTAGAGTACATGCAAGCCGGTCCGAGTTCTCCATTGCTGCGCCGGCCAGGTAATAAGCAAGGGAGGTGCGTCTATCTTCTGTGTGTGTAGCCTTTGGGAACGTGTTTGTCTACACAATGCAAAGGAGGGGGAATTATCGAGGCACATCCTCCAGCGTCCCAGGCCCAGAGAATCCCACATCCCCAGAAACTTCAGGGTCCTTGGTCAGCAGGCTTACCGGTGCCCTGCGAAACTGCGGAGTGCCAGCAGAAATGAGTGTGGGTGCTCTCCAGTCTCGTGCTCTCCAGGTCCACGGTAGACAGTTTTTCTTGGAAAGCTGACCCGCGTTTGAAACTTGGCAGGGGTGTACGTCCGTGTGTACAGTAAAAGCCATGTGCGGACCCCCCGTGTAAATGATCCCAAGGCAAACCTAGCAAAGGATCTTGAAGGATCCGACGGAATCGACAACGGCATCATGTCATATGACACTGCGCAATGTAGCCACCACAAAGTTGTAGCATACTATCACACAGGAGCGTGGTAAGCATTCACAGCATGCCCTGCATCGATGGTGCACGTCGACAGCACAGGACGTCGACAAACTCCGTAGTGCCCGGTCCGCCGGGTCCGCCAACCAACCCTCCCTCCAGTTTTTGTTCTTATACATTGTCTTATCAGCGCACCGCTCGCTGTCGTTTGTGTTGTAGTCCGCATATGGCCGCTTTGATTGGTGGAGGTATTCACCGCAAGCAGCGTAGATGATACTTACATGTACTGTAGGAGCGACGAGGTGTCGGTACACACACATGTTGTTTCATGCACGACGGGCGGAGGATGGCGCCCAGCTACTACCTACCGGTTCGTTTCTGATTTTCACCATACGAAATCCACGAATGACGGTGAGCGTGATCGGGTATTGCCATGCATAATATAGCCCCGCCCCCCGCAACACTGGCGTCTTGCCCTCCCGCGAAAAGCTGGTCGGATAGGAGAACACCTTCTTCGGGGGGGGAGAAGTGTCATCCGCAGCCAGCCGTTTCACCCGCTGTACGACACGTCAAAACGCTATATCTATACGTATAGCACATGGCACTTGGCACACAATCCGTTCCGTCAGGCAGTTCATCGTGAAAACTGCGACAAACGCAGCGAAGTACCATACATGAAAGGGTGGAAAAAGACACACAGCGGAGAAACGGGACTCCGATCGTACTCGTCAAAACACGAAGACACGCAAGAACACCGTTTCTGCTAACAACCTCGAAAAAGCCAGCAATAGGCGACAAGTAGTTTTGAAACAAGCGAAGGAATGCTTTTTTCGTCTTCTGTTCGCAGCCATGAACTAAAAATGAAAGGAATAGTTCTTTCGAAACGTGCGCCCTACCCACAATACGCGATACGCATAAGTCCGATCCGTGTCTTCCTCCGAAGTGAGAGATACCAAAAAGCGGCGCCAAGTTGAAGAACGAAGTAGCAACCGTGACCTATACTAACTTCTAGATTAGAGAAAAACGGCGACAACAACAATGACATGTGCAAGCTCGCACAACAAGTTATGAGACACACCTTTGAAACGGGGCAACAAGCACAAACCGCCCAAAATGACAGAGCGACAAAGGAAAACGGGCATCCAATGCTGCTGCTTTTCAGCGTTGGCTTGCTGGTGCATCTGATGTAGTCTAGTCATTCGTGGGCGCAGCCGACATGAAAATGTGGTCGGCTGGAGCTTGTCCGAATAGAACACACGCGGTATGTTCTTACACTTGAGCAATAACCAATGTGCTGCTGTTGATTAATCCAAGATCGGGTGCTGTCATACGTGAGTAATGCTCTGTCGTGGTCTAACCTACAAACTTTGCCTTCACACGTACGTAACGACAAGCAAGCGTATTGGACATCTCCCACGAGATGCAACTCACGTTCCTGATACACATTGTAGGCTCTCCGAACATCTCAGAGAGTCCATGACTACATGCACATCTAATGCGCTGCTCTGTTTCTCTTCGCTCTCCGCGGAATCGCATTCGGAAAGTCCCAAACAGTTCCCTCCTGTGGCTGCGGCTGAAGAAGGGTCCAACCGATTCTACAAGGATACTGTTTTTTCCCACACACTAAAATGACATGATGAAAGGGTTCAACCGCAGTGCTTTCATACATTTTCCACCCCCACATTTGCGGGGCTGCATTGTGGAGTCCAGTCACAGCTGTTGCTACCAGGCGTCTCAAGGAAGAAATTGATCCAGAAATGGGGCCCGCTGCTGCAGTTTGGCCGAAAACGCAAAATCGCAAGCGGTCCGAGCGAAGTTCGCGAATCCAGCGGTCTCTCCACCAAATGCACGAAGTCAAACGCCCAATTTACAAGGCATAGGCAAGCGCGCACGGCTGGGTTAGGAGCTGCGAGGACGTTAAAAAAAATACACGTCCGTCCGTCGGCGCCGCCGAGAACGTCTGGGAGCAAGCTGGCTCTAATCGGTTGAAACGGGCCCGTTCACGTCTTGCCCGAGTACCTGGACGCAGCGGGGGCGAACCGATGACGAGCCCACGCAGTGCGATTATCGATATAAAGGGTTTTCGTTTTCTCTGTCCCAGATGGACTGCAGCGCACATAACAACGCCCTCTAGTGGAGATGTACACACAACACATGAAATCAGGCCGTCCTGCGATACACGGAAATTTCACTCAAAATGAGTTCCGAGATTTCGAACAACATTGTAGATCAAACTCCAGTAAAATCCGATCAACGTCAACCCACAGGACGAACTGGCTTGCTAAAGGACGAGGTGTTCGCCAGTGGAATGTGCAAATGGGACAACAAGAGAGTAGCCCGCAGGGTGGACCGTGATACATCTGGATGTTGACAAACGCTCCCAACTACCACATCTTAGGTGGTCAACGTCAATCCGCGCATCTCTGTACAAGGTTGGTACCGGAATAGCTTACCTCAACATGGTTGCCAGGAGGGAGCCACAGTGCGCTCTGGTTTCGCGCCTCGCGATATAGACTCCTAGCCCCGACGCCCCTCCCCTGGCGCCTCTGTTGGTACCAGTCCCCAGTGGGGCGGCGTACACAGGGCTAGTAGTGCCCCAGAGCCAGGATATCGCGCGAACGGTTTCCACTCGCAGCAGCAAGCGCCGGACTTCCTCCAGACGATTCATTTCCTCCTCCGTCGCGCATTGGCCCTTGTGCATCTCACAACCAAGGTTGCGGTTCGCGAGCTCCAGGAGAGTCTCGTTCTCCAACGGCCCGCGGAACGAGTACGACACGGGTCTGGTCAGCCTCTCATTAGCCCCGGCGTCAAGCAGCAACCTCACGACCTTCGGGGCCGCGGCGGCGACAGCAACGAACAGGGGCGTGCATTGATAGTCGTTGCGGCTGTCCACGTAGCCGGCTCCAGGGGTGGCCCACTTTTGCTGCAGGAGAAGTTTGACGGCCTTGTCACGGCCACAGTCGGCGGCCGTGAACAAAGAATCGCCCGTGTCCACGACCCCCGCGGCCAGCAACAGCCTCATGGCATCGACCCGTTGATGCTTCGCGGCCAAGTCGAGAGCAGTTACGCCGGCATCTTGACCCACACACGCCTTGATCCCGCGGTGCTGGATCAGCTCACGGACCACCTCCGTGAACCCCTTTTGCGCCGCCACATCCAACGCAACGCGGGTCGACCCATCCGACTGCCTCCTCGGGAAGGCCTGCCTCACGCCCAAGCGGAGGAGCTCCCTGACGATGTCGAGGTGGCCATGGAACGCCGCATCGTACAGCGGGGTGCTTCCGTTGTATGTTTGAGTGTCGGGGTTCGCACCAGCCTTCACCAGCATCGACAAGATTTCCGAGTGCCCGCCATCGGCGGCTTGGTGAAGGCCCGTCACGCCTTCTTCGGTAACGGCGTCCAGGTCGGCACCAGCGTCGATGAGCAACTGAGTCACACCACCGTGTCCATTCTGGGCGGATATCATCAGGGGAGTGCACCCCTCTTCCGTGATTTCGTTGACGTCCACCGCGCCCGTCGCAAGCAGGGTTTTTGTGAGTTTGGCGTTGCCCCGAAAGGCAGCATCGTGCAGATAGTTATAGGGCATTGCTTGATTTCCCTTGGGGCTGCGGCTGCCGCAAGCACTCTTGGCAGTCTACGAGTTGCTGTTCCCTGATCGTGGAAGACAGCCTGGCGACGGGATTGCCTGCCACCTGAACGGAGTTCCAAAGATTTCGGGAAAATCGAAACAGAGGACGGACGGGTGTGGTATCAGCTGAGTCGAAGCGTTTCCTTCTCGCGGCGCCCTTAGCCCATCAAATGCGCAAGGCACGAAGCAGCGTGCGGATTAGGTTCCTGACTACATGGGACCTGACAGATGCGAAAGTGTGCTGTGACCTCGACAAATGAGACAGGAAACCAGCTTTCTTTGCGGTGGTTCCTTGACGAGTTGGTTTCGTTTCCACTCAAACAGATAGCGCCCGCACTTTAGAACCCTGAGTTTAGGCCGTGGGGTTCTTAGTTCCTGGGGTTGTGCTACTATGGCCGCTGGTATCGGGTTTGTTTAGGGTTCTTAACCGAACTCAGAAACTGTGCTCAAGTTCTTAGATTCCGAGTTCTTCGAGGCTAAATTTCTTAACTGCCACAAGACGCTAACTACTGTACACATCGAGCCGCGAAAACGGACCGAGACCGCTGGCACGCAGAAAACGGGAAATCGCTCACAATTGCCACTTGCCGACTACCAGAAAAAACAGCGAAAACGACTGGACAGGTGTCTCACGACCCATCTTGGGCTTTACACCAGTGCTCTCTGCGAAACGCTTGTCACGGTCTCCGATGCGGCATGTACGGTTCGAGGGAGTAAGAGTTGCCCGATGGAATATTCGGTCAAGCTCTAAAGCGACAACTCCCACACAATCAACCAGTTAACGAACGAAGGGCGCCTCATGAAATCAACTCCGCTCATCACCAAAGTATTAGCAAAAGGTGTTTTATCTGGAAGATGAGAACGAACGCGTGCGAAGCACCGCGGCCTAGCCCAAGTCTACCAACTATACAAAATATCACCGCCCAAATTGTGCGTCTGCCCCCGACGTATCCAAAACGTGCAGGAGATTGGCCACTTTACCGAAGTTTTTGCCTATTTTCCGCTCTGGAAGTGACCCAAATCAGTCAGTACTTCGAGTGAGTACGAAGCTAGGTGCCCAACGGCCATAAACATGTGGTGCCTATGGTCACTCCCGTAATCTAGTTGGTATCCTCGCAACCTCGCGGCCAGGGTCAAGGGGTTTTCGAACCACCGCCGTGAGCGAGCTTTTCATGTAATATGTTGAGTATTTTCTCGCCTGCGTTCCTGGTCATGGAAAGCGCCGCGTAGTTCGTGTGTACACTTCGAGGGAAAAGAGTGCTGCACTCTTCTCTCGTTAAAAACCGAAGGCAAGCACCGCAGGAGGGGTGGGTAGGGGGCAGCAGGGGGAGGAACTCTTCTGTGTGGCCGCAGATTGGTGCTCTTACCCGGCAGAAGTGCTGTGAGAGCTGATCATGTAAAATATATACTCACAGGATGACGCGTGTCACTAGACTTGATTTTAGAGTGGACGCACCTGGGGTCGATTTTTTTGTATTGGTCGCGCAACATCAATAACAAGCGAACTCTTGTCACCGTACGCCGTTCTGCAACAAAATTGCGTAGTGTCGTCTCAACTGGTACCCGTTGACAAACTCAGTTGCCACGCGGAAACTGCGAACATCCACGACATTGATGATTGCGATTCCATGCGAATATGGATCGATCGCCTGATGACCATGCTGGCGACTTTTTCCGTCGGCCTCGGTTCGATGTTTAACATAGGAGTACATCCCTCTTCCTTCAGCCGTTGCACGTACCTGTTGCGCTTCAGTCGTTCCACATGCAGTACCTGTTGAACGAATTCCTTACAGAAGATATGTGTACACCATATCACAACCAACCGCACGCCGCTTTACAACCTCACCCATGCTCGAACTGCTGTGTACTGTCCCGTGAGAACGATCTTGCCAACATTGAGGTTGATACCTGAGATGCTGTGCATGTACTTCTCCGTGCTGCGGCCATCGCTCAATACAATAGACGCCAAAACTGTGCGTCACCATACAACTCTACACCCACTTTTACACGAGCGCTGAGTCTAATACGATGACGATAGCCAAAAACAATGTCGTCATTTTTCTGACGCTTCGGAAATCCTGCCGCTCCGGGCAGCGAGCCTATTGTCGCCCATCCCTCTCAAGGGCTCGTATGATTCTCGTCCATACCCTCACGCCCATGCCTTTTTAGCTCCGTCGCACGTGTGTTTCACAGTAGAACTCGCGATCTCCGAGTCGAGACCACCAACACGGCAGTGTCATTTACTCTTCTTTTCCGTGATGAACAAATCCATCTGTAGAACCGCGAGTGATTATGTGTTCAATACATCGTCTCGGATGAATATACACACACGCAAAACCTTCAACCTCCCTAACAACCGATCACTGCCACGTGCGCACTATTCACATGGAATGAACCATTCATTCCTCGCGCCTACTGTAACCGTATTAACGTAGTTCATCCGCATACTGTACGTACCTGCTGCACATCATGGTTCAATCTCTTCGACCCTTCTAGAAAGTGAAGATAATCTCACAGAAAGACTACCCGATCGAGATATAAACCCAGTCGAGAGGGATGTATGTCCTGAAGTCTTTACAGTGAGTGGAGGGAAACCGGTTGGAAGCTGGGCTTACTTTGAGTTTGTTTAAGCCTATGCACTGAAAGACTTGTATCAGTGTGCCAGCTGGTTCTAGAACCAAATAAAAAGTCTGTGATAGATAGACTACATACATGCTGTGTAGATGGATACATTTTACACACCGCTACCTTCAACAAATCTATCACCACGGACACACCACTTTTTATATTTTTTTCCCACAAAAACCCGTACAACCGTTCACACCTTCGTACGCACTATCTGGGCAGACTTCCCGCGCATTGTGGCCGCCCGCCCGACTGGGGGGAGGGGGGTCATTCATCCCCCCTATGTACATCATACAGCAGTAGTTTGGGTGATGAACACTAAAACAAAAAAGAACATGTGGTATGTATGCATACTGTATGAATAATATGCACATCATTACACATCGAAACATTTCCATCTGCCTTCTACTGGAGCTCTTGGAAGAACCATGTGTTTTCTTCGAGGCAAAGTTGAAACCGAGCTAGAGGGGGGCCATTCTTGTCCGTAACAACAGCTCGTGCTAGATACAAGAACGCGGCGATTTCTCCTGAGTGAGGATCAACAACAATTAAGGAATAATAAAAACACACACAGAAAGACTACCCATTCGAGATATACCCACAACTGCACCTGGACAGAGAGGGAGAAAAACCGGGGCCAACACGCCGACACGCGGATTCCGCCGCATCCATACGAAGAACATGGACTTACCCAGGAACAGATGTTTGTTGTTGAGGCCCTTGCCTTTGATAGGACATGTTGTTTTGAACGAGCACACCTGCTTTACACACTACAGCAATACACACGTACGAGTCGGTCGGATTACGCCACTGTTGCACTTGTCAGCAAACTAAGAGAGGGCCATGCTCCTGCTGTGCATAGCCTTGGGCACGGTTGTTGTCTCATGTTTACGGCAGAGACTCACGACTGCAGACTGCAGAGCGGGAACGAAAGAAGAACACGTGTCTTTTTCATCTACCACTCACTCTCAGTTCGAGTCCCACTACTTCTGGCTCCTCCTCGGTCAGCAGGATCTCGTGTTCGCAGCAGCAAGCTTCTCCCCAGTGCCCCTCGATCACGCGGGGTGCCAGCACAGAGGGTGGAGTGATTGGCACTGAGCCAGAGCATGGCACACCAGCTATTTTTTATTTTTGAAAAGGGTCGACGATGTTTGAAATTTGAAAATGATGAGGGTGCGGGGGTTGGCCATGTGCTGACCCCCCGTTTCCCAAGCTGCAAGACAGAGGGATCCTCCGCAACTCCGTGCGTGTACATGTATTGCAGATCCGACCAACCAACCAAGCCGGTTCGAAACACCAAGGAGCCCCCGCAATCACCAATCTTTCTCCATAGACAACTCAGCACCTCGATTCATGGAGGAACCTGCAGCGGAAGCGGTAGATATCGTACGTACAGCAGTGCTGCTGCATTTCTGCACGGATGCTCTTCACGGCGGGTGGCTGGCTGGCTGACAACCCCCCCCTGTTTTGACCCCATAATAATGCTTGAGTGCTTCGTTTGAGGATTTGTGTTAATTTCCAGTTTTGGGGACGCAACGCACCGACGAGACATTTCCGTTCGAAATCCACCACGCTACATACAATGTTAGAATTTTGACATGAATTCGTACGGCTGGTCGGAAAGGAGTTCATTCGAAACAGTACGAACCCCGCTGGAGCAAGATCGCCTCCGGAGGAAGGGGGGGGAGGGGGGTACTCATGCTAAACGCATGCCGTAGTCGTTAGACCATAGACCTCGCATTCCCGCAATGCTGGGACGGAGCGATATGTCGGGCTTTCGCCGGCCCAGGCCATGCTCCACAAGGATGAGGGGGCAGGGGGGGGAGCCACATTAAGCGCAACCGTTTTCACCCGTTCTACGACACGCATCGAGCTCTTCCAGCCCAAATGACGCACCGCACGATAAGCGAGTTCGTTCAATCAGTCCATTCGTTTGTGAAACCGCGACAAGCGCAGCGATGCAAGAGGGAACACCCACCACAGAGAAACGGGACACTCTCTCTGGCGGTATTCGCCGGAACTCAAAGACAAGCACGACCGTCTCAGCCAAACCTTATAAACACCCACAATCGCCCCGGGCAGAAGAAAAGTTGTCAGAAGAGCAGGCGAGCCCGAGGCGTGCTTCCTTATCCGCTGTGCTCAGCCAAAACCAAAAATGCCAAAAATAGCTACTTCAAGACGTGCGCCCTGCACCATGGCAGTGTCATGAAGAGGTCCGATCACAGGACACTACTGTAAGTGGCGGCGCCACGTTGTATTTTACGAAGACACGACAGCCCCCCCACAATAGAGGAAACACGACGAAAACACAAACAATGCCGTGTGCACGCACGCACGAACAACTTATGAAACACAACTTTGAAACGTTGGCCAACAACTCACGCAGCCCAAAAATCGGGGGGGGGGGGGGGGGGCAAAAAAAAAGGGGTTCAAAAAAAAAAAACAACTTCAAAATTTAATTTTTTAATTTCAGGGGTACCAATGCACACGGGCCAAGCATGC